GAGAGCAGAGAGTGAGCAGAGAGTGAGCAGAGAGAGCAGAGAGAGCAGAGAGTGAGCAGAGAGAGCAGAGAGTGAGCAGAGAGAGCAGAGAGCAGAGAGAGCAGAGTGAGCAGAGAGAGCAGAGAGAGAGCAGAGAGAGCAGAGAGCAGAGAGAGCAGAGTGAGCAGAGTGAGCAGAGAGAGCAGAGAGAGCAGAGAGTGAGCAGAGAGTGAGCAGAGAGAGAGCAGAGAGAGCAGAGAGAGCAGAGAGAGCAGAGAGAGCAGAGAGAGCAGAGAGAGCAGAGAGAGCAGAGAGAGCAGAGTGAGCAGAGAGAGCAGAGTGAGCAGAGTGAGCAGAGAGAGCAGAGAGAGCAGAGTGAGCAGAGAGTGAGCAGAGAGAGCAGAGTGAGCAGAGTGAGCAGAATGAGCAGAGAGAGCAGAGAGAGCAGAGAGAGCAAAGAGTGAGCAGAGAGTGAGCAGAGAGTGAGCAGAGTGAGCAGAGAGAGCAGAGAGCAGAGAGAGCAGAGTGAGCAGAGAGAGCAGAGTGAGCAGAGAGAGAGAGAGCAGAGAGAGAGAGAGCAGAGTGAGCAGAGAGAGCAGAGAGAGCAGAGAGAGCAGAGAGAGGCAGAGTGAGCAGAGAGAGCAGAGTGAGCAGAGAGAGAGCAGAGAGAGCAGAGAGAGCAGAGAGAGCAGAGAGAGGCAGAGAGAGCAGAGAGAGCAGAGTGAGCAGAGAGAGCAGAGTGAGCAGAGAGAGCAGAGAGAGCAGAGTGAGCAGAGAGTGAGCAGAGAGAGCAGAGAGAGCAGAGAGAGCAGAGTGAGCAGAGTGAGCAGAGTGAGCAGAGTAAGCAGAGTGAGCAGAGTGAGCAGAGAGAGCAGAGAGTGAGCAGAGAGAGCAGAGAGAGCAGCAGAGAGCAGAGGAGCAGAGAGAGAGAGAGAGAGCAGAGAGAGCAGAGAGAGCAGAGAGAGAAGAGCAGAGAGAGCAGAGAGAGCAGAGAGTGAGCAGAGAGTGAGCAGAGAGTGCGCAGAGAGTGGAGCAGAGTGTGAGCAGAGTGAGCAGAGAGAGCAGAGAGAGAGAGAGAGAGAGAGCAGAGAGAGCAGAGAGAGCAGAGAGAGCAGAGAGAGCAGAGTGAGCAGAGAGAGAGAGAGAGAGAGAGAGAGAGAGAGAGAGCAGAGAGAGAGTGAGCAGAGAGAGCAGAGAGAGCAGAGAGAGCAGAGAGAGCAGAGTGAGCAGCAGAGAGCAGAGAGAGCAGAGAGAGAGCAGAGAGAGAGCACGCCAGAAAAGAATTGGCCCCATAATTCCCATCCATTAGGTTGCACCAAATATTGAAACCAATAACCCAATAAGTCCCCCAGAAATAAATAAACTTGACAAATGGACTCAATAAAACCACAAAAAAATGAAACAGACACATAACTAAACATAAAATAATATTTTGCTTGGTGTGTGGTGGGGTTTTTTTGGAGGAATGCATGTAAATTTTGTTGGTGCTTTACATCTACATGGGGTGGGTCATTTTTAGTTTTTTATTTTCAGTGGAGCGCTGTGGACCGAATGACCTTGCCGCCTTCCTTGATAGTATTATTTTAAATATGGGTGCAGTGCTGGTCCCCTGCCCCCTTTGCTTCTAATCCTAAACAATCCTCCATCAGCTTTTAGAAGGACAACCCCTTTACCCGCCTAAAATCCCTTCTCTCTTCATCAACAACGGAGAAGGAGGAAAAAAAGAAGAAGAAGGATAGCGGTTTAAAGGGTGGGGTTCCCTTCCTAAAGCTGAGAAAGAGAATTAAGAATGTTAGACAGCAAAGACCAGCAACTGGCCCACCACTATCCATCTTAATACTCTCAAGGAGCCAGCACAAAAGTTCCCCATCGTTACCCACAGCGCTCAACTGAAAACTAAACAAAATGAAAACACACTGTAGATTTAAAGCCAACACAAAATTACATTGCATGCCCCTCAAAACCACACCACACACTAAATATTGATTTTTTTATTTTTTATGTAAATAATGTTTTTTGCCCCCTGTTTTTCCATTTTTTTTTGGGTTTTTATTTGTGGTCCCCCCATTTTGTCCAGTTTTTTAATTAAATCCTGGTGACTTTTTTTTACTGTTTTATTGGTTCCCCCCAAATATAGGGGCCGCCTAAAGGAAAAGCAATACTGGGGCAGTCCCCCCCCCCTTTCTGGCGTAGGTTTTTGCCATGGCCTTCTACATTTTAATATCCTTAAAAAATGTTTTAAAAGATTGGTTTATTGCTTTCCCTAAATTTTGAAAAATAATTCCCAAAGCAACACTTTGTTTGGTGGATTGTTTTTTGTGTGTACAAGAAAAACATTTATTTTTTGCAATTAAACCATTTGCTCATACGTTTTTATTTTTTTGGGCAAGTTTTGTATAATAGTAATGGAAGACCGCCCTTGACATTGGTAATGAGGGGCAACTAAATAGTGGGTTAAAAAAGGGTCCTTATCCCTTGAATAAAAACCATGTTTTTTTTTCTTATAAAAACACTATACAAGTAATTTTTCCAACCTTTTTTGCTTAAATGTGGGGGGTTTTTTTTTTTTTTTTCCCGGTGTTTTTGTTTTTAGATTTTTAGTAAATAAATTCAGTAAAAATAACCTTTAAATATCCAATGCCCTTCTGGAATTGGCCAGAAAAAAAATTTAAATGAATAACTTTTAAGCTCCCCCTGCTTTAACTGTTTTATGGCAATTGCCTTCCTGCTGACCGCCCTTAAAAAAAATATAACCCGCTTGGAAAACAAAAATTAAACCCTTTTAAAATGGGTGGGTCAATTTTTTTGTAAAGGTTCCCGGGGATGGAATGAAAAATTGACCAAAAGAAATAAGTGAAAACAGCATCCCCTTACGATCTTTTTGAAAACTTATTTCCCCAAGAAGGCGACGGTCCCCCTAATGGGAAGAAAATTTTTTATTTTTTGTGTCAATTAGAAATTTTAGAAATTTTTTTTTTTGTCATGAAAAATTTTTTTTTCCGTTTTTTTTGAAATTTTTTTTTTTTAACCCTGAAAATACCAGGTTTGAATTATGTTTTTTTTTTTTTTTTCCTTACATTATTCCAGTCCCCCACTAAAAAATTTCAGTTGTTTTACGAATTTCAAGGTTTTTTTACGAGGTGCAAGAGAGGAACTGGGGGCCAGCAGTCCCCCGAAAGGCGGGAGACCCCTCCGAACGACACCGCCATCACCCCGCACACCCCCCCCAAAAACATCTTGGCCCCTCTTTGGGACCTGTTGGAACGTCCCCAACCTCAACAGGGGGGAAAAGGAGCCCCCGAGGCTTTGTGGGGAGGTTGAGCGCTAACCCGACTTAGGTAGATAGTCCCCCCCCCCCCGGGCCCCCCCCTCAACACCTCCACCACAACACGCTTGGGGCTTTTTCTGGAACCCAACTCCTTGAGAGGGGGTTTTTTGTTTGGAACGCTCCAACTTTGTTTTTTTCTGGTGTTTTTTCCACCCCGGCGGGAGAGGCGGGCGGAGCCTGGGGGTTGGCCCCCCAGAACTCATTGCCCCCCCAATCCCCCTCCAGCCCGCCCCCACGTGGTTTGGAGTTTTCTCCCCCGGGGAATGAGAGGGTCGCGTTCCCCCCCACCCTTCCGGGTGGAGGACACGTTCCTCCCTCCACTGTTTGTACGGGCCCCAACGGGCCCCTAAAGCCAGCAGTGGGCAAGAGTACTCGGCCCTTTCTTGGAGTACCCTTTGGAGGGGATACTGGGGACGGTGCAAACCCGCCCGGGGACTCCCCCGTCCCCCATTTCCTCCTGGGGGACTCCTTTTTAACCCGCCCATGTGGGGGAAAGCGCCCAATGACACTTTTTGAGGAGAGGGGTTGGGATCCGGAAAAATGGGCCCCCCAGAACTGAAACCCGAGTGGGTTGGTTTTAAGTATTGTTTTTGGACTTTTCTGTGCAAGTCACGGTTTGTATTTTTTTTTTTTTATTTTTTTTTTTGTCCACAACGAACCACCATGGGTTTTTGAGCACAAGGGTGGGGCCCAACCCATGCACGGGGCACCAGAACCACCCTAGGCCCCCGGGAGGTCCCGATGATCGAACTTTGTTTTGGTCCCCCCCCGTATCAATCCCTGACCCTTCGGCCGCGTGGGGTTTTTTGGACACTCCGGTAAAGAGGGGGGCCGGACGCTGTACCCCCAACCGATCCCCACCACCTGGTTCCCGTGAGTTTTTTTTTGGGATTTCCGCTTGGCAGGGATGAACCGGTCCAGACCTGGCGGGAATCCCCAACGTGTAGTGAGGTTCCTGGGCTGGGGAACGTCCTTCCCGCCTTGAGACCCCCTTTCCACCAGAACCGGACCCCATTTTTCAACTCACAACTCCGGGAGAGCTCTTCCCCAGGTCCCCCGGCGAGGAGGGGGATATTTGGAATCCGAGTTGGACCCCAAATGTTCTCCTTTCCCCCTCGATCCGCCGGAGGGCGGCCGCTCGTAGCCGGTTGGGGGTTCGCAAGGGTCCCTCTGGTGCTTTTGGACCCCCGCCGGCAAACCCCCCCGAACCCCGGTGGTGGACACCGGCCCAAAAAAGTAAGGAATTCAACAGTTCAGGCCTGAAAGGAGGATTCCAATCGAGCCCTGAGGGTTCGGGGGACCCTCCCTGAGGCAAGCAGTCCCCAAGTATCCGGCAGCCAAAAGCGTGCCCCCCGCGGGCCCCGGGCCTGGTTTTTGCCCCGAGGTAAAAACCCCTGACCCTGGTGAAGGGAAATTCGAAGAGGTCCCCCCCCCCCCATGGAAAGCCAAATGGAACCACACTATTCAAAGTCCCCGGCCCCCTCCGAAGAAGGATTAATGGGATCGCCTTAAAGCAGACTTATATTTCCAGGATTATATCTGTATTCAATTGCAAATGAAATGAGGGGGGGGGGCAGGAGGGGCGGGGGCTTTCTCAGTCTATGAATAATAGTTTCATTTGAATTAAGTGACACCTGGTACTGCGCTGCTCTGCCCGGTTCCCAGCTCTGAGCTCTGCCTCCGGTTTCAGCAAATGTCGCAGTCCGGTAACTTTAGTCCCTCCACGGCCGGAAAGTGAATGGAGAGAAAAGAAAAGGAAAGGAAAGGAAAGGGGGAAAACACAAAGAAAGTCTAAATTCTTATCAATCTCCTTAAAGACATTTTGAAAGAGGATGGCTCGTGTTTCAGGGGAAAACGTCCAAATTAAATACAGTAAAAAAAGGTATAATGAGACGGTCCCACAGACGGAGGTTAAAGGGGCTTTTGTCACAAACTGTTGTAGCTTTAATTACTTTAATTATATTGTACAAATGAATGTTAAAGCTGGGTACCTAACTTTTTACCACAGATCAGACCTGGGCATTTGAGACACATTTACAGAGAATCTGATGGATTTAGGTTAAGTTTATATTTGGGTCATTCAGCGCTGATGATCTCTGTGTTCACTCTTCACGTCCTTCCAGAGACTTCTAGTTAGTTAGCTCGCCTAGCTATTACTAGCCTAGCTATTACTAGCCTAGCTGTTACTAGCCTAGCTGTTATTAGCCTAACTGTTACTAGCCTAACTGTTACTAGCCTAACTGTCACTAGCCTAACTGTTACTAGCCTAACTGTTACTAGCCTAACTGTTACTAGCCTAACTGTTACTAGCCTAACTGTTACTAGCCTAGCTGTTACTAGCCTAACTGTTACTAGCATAGCCACGGGAAAACCTTTGGGAACTATTTTATTTGCAGTCATTAGATAATCCTTTTGGCATTCACAAAAGTAAACTGAAGTTTATTTTGTGTGTTCTGTCGGTACAAAGCCGTATAATTAGCAGATAATGTATATTACGCAGGTCAGCACTGACGGAAGCAGTGACCTGTGTACTGGACATTATCATTTAGATACCTCCTTCTTTTTTCATTGGATTCTGCTCCTTTGGCGCCAGAAGGGAGTCACTAAAAACATAAATCTTCATTAATTACCCACATGTTTTATTGTGAATGCTTTCTTTGGTGTTTGTCTGGCGCCGGGGTCTAAACATTATTCCAGAATATTCCATTATATTTTTACAATCCTTTTAAAACAAACATTATTTTGAAGTGATATTAGAAGAAACACAATTTTTTAAAGGTTCTTAGGTACTTGGTCTTGTTGATGTATTACTGACATTATTGATAAAACAGCAGTAAACTCGGACTAAAGCTGGGCCACTCGTTGGATGAAGCAGGCGAGTTTAGACGAGATTAGTTGAGTTTAGTTGAGTTTAGTTGAGATTAGTTGATGTTAGTTGAGTTTAGTTGAGTTTAGTCGAGATTAGTTGATGTTAGTTGAGTTTAGTTGAGTTTAGTTGAGTTTAGTTGAGATTAGTTGATATTAGTTGAGTTTAGTTGAGTTTAGTCGAGATTAGTTGATGTTAGTTGAGATTAGTTGAGTTTAGTTGAGTTTAGTTGAGTTTAGTTGAGTTAATTGAGTTGAGTTTAGTTGATATTAGTTGAGTTTAGTTGTGTTTAGTCGAGATTAGTTGAGTTTAGTTGAGATTAGTTGATATTAGTTGAGTTTAGTTGATTTTAGTCGAGATTAGTTGATGTTAGTTGAGATTAGTTGAGTTTAGTTGAGTTTAGTTGAGTTTAGTTGATATTAGTTGATATTAGTTGTGTTTAGTCGAGTTTAGTTGAGTTTAGTTGAGATTAGTTGAGTTTAGTTGAGTTTAGTTGAGTTTAGTTGAGATTAGTTGAGTTTAGTTGAGTTTAGTTGATATTAGTTGAGTTTAGTCGAGTTTAGTTGAGTTTAGTTGAGTTTAGTTGAGATTAGTTGAGTTTAGTCGAGATTAGTTGAGTTTAGTTGATATTAGTTGAGTTTAGTCGAGATTAGTTGAGTTTAGTTGATATTAGTTGAGTTTAGTTGATATTAGTTGAGTTTAGTTGAGTTTAGTTGAGTTTAGTTTATGTTAGTTGAGATTAGTTGAGTTTAGTTGATATTAGTTGAGTTTAGTTGAGATTAGTTGAGTTTAGTTGATATTAGTTGAGTTTAGTTGATATTAGTTGAGTTTAGTTGATATTAGTTGAGTTTAGTTGAGTTTAGTCGAGATTAGTTGAGTTTAGTTGAGATTAGTTGAGTTTAGTTGAGATTAGTTGAGTTTAGTTGAGTTTAGTTGATATTAGTTGAGTTTAGTTGATATTAGTTGAGTTTAGTTGAGTTTAGTTGAGTTTAGTTGAGTTTAGTTGAGATTAGTTGAGTTTAGTTGAGTTTAGTTGAGTTTAGTTGAGATTAGTTGATATTAGTTGAGTTTAGTTGATATTAGTTGAGTTTAGTTGAGTTTAGTTGAGATTAGTTGAGTTTAGTTGAGATTAGTTGAGTTTAGTTGAGATTAGTTGATATTAGTTGAGTTTAGTTGAGTTTAGTTGAGTTTAGTTGAGATTAGTTGAGTTTAGTTGAGTTTAGTTGAGTTTAGTTGAGTTTAGTTGAGATTAGTTGAGTTTAGTTGAGATTAGTTGAGTTTAGTTGAGTTTAGTCGAGATTAGTTGATGTTAGTTGAGTTTAGTTGAGTTTAGTTGAGTTTAGTTGAGATTAGTTGAGTTTAGTTGAGTTTAGTTGATTTTAGTTGAGTTTAGTTGAGTTTAGTTGAGTTTAGTTGAGATTAGTTGAGTTTAGTTGATATTAGTTGAGTTTAGTTGAGTTTAGTTGAGATTACTTGATGTTAGTTGAGTTTAGTTGAGTTTAGTTGAGTTTAGTTGAGTTTAGTTGAGATTAGTTGAGTTTAGTTGATATTAGTTGAGTTTAGTTGAGTTTAGTTGAGTTTAGTTGAGTTTAGTTGAGTTTAGTTGAGTTTAGTTGAGATTAGTTGAGTTTAGTTGAGATTAGTTGAGTTTAGTTGAGTTTAGTCGAGATTAGTTGATGTTAGTTGAGTTTAGTTGAGTTGAGATTAGTTGATATTAGTTGAGTTTAGTTGAGTTTAGTTGAGATTAGTTGAGATTAGTTGATATTAGTTGAGTTTAGTTGAGTTTAGTTGAGTTTAGTTGAGATTAGTTGAGTTTAGTTGAGATTAGTTGAGTTTAGTTGAGTTTAGTCGAGATTAGTTGATGTTAGTTGAGTTTAGTTGAGATTAGTTGAGTTTAGTTGAGTTTAGTTGAGATTAGTTGAGTTTAGTTGAGTTTAGTTGAGTTTAGTTGAGATTAGTTGATATTAGTTGAGTTTAGTTGATATTAGTTGAGTTTAGTAGAGTTTAGTTGAGTTTAGTTGAGTTTAGTTGAGATTAGTTGAGTTTAGTTGATATTAGTTGAGTTTAGTTGAGTTTAGTTGAGAGGCAGACTGGGCCGCGGACCACAGGTTGAATACAGGCCTGACAGATGCTATCGCTCCGTTCTCAAAGTCTCTCTCTTTTCTCTCACTTCGACGTCTAGACAACAGGAAACACACAAGTTTGTTTACTGCCTAAAGCCACACACACTGGGTTAAGACTTGCACCAATCGCAGAGGGGGGGAGGGGCTTCAGGGTACTGGGGCGGAGCTACAGAGCCAAAGGGGGCGGAGCTTATTTGCCTCCCTCACACACACACCTACCTACACTCATACACACACCCACACACACATACACACTCACACACACAGACACACTCATACACACACCCACGCACACCTACACACACACTCTCTCCAACACACAAACACGCACCTACACTCACACACACACAAACACACACACAGTAAACCTCCAAAAGTGTCTAAAGATCCGTGTGTGTGAGTGTGTGTTTGTGTGTGTGTGACCTGTGTGTGTGTGAGCTCAGGGAGACGCTACTGTCACTTTGGAACTATCTGAGGAACTTTCTAAACAATCGTCACTAGAGTTTAACCCAGACACTCATTAGAGCAGCAGCGTGAGCTTGTGCCTCACAGCAAGAAGGTCCTGAGTCCTGTTTGGATTCCACCTCCAGGCCTTTACTGAGTGAAGTTTCTATGTTCTCCCTATGTCTGTGTAGGTTTCCTCCAGGTGCGCCGGTTCCCCTTACCACTCAAAACATGTACAATTGCTGGGTTGCAACCACGTGACCAAAAGAGGAAGTGGCAAGGGGCCGTACCACAATCCGACCACAGACCAACTACAGACCGACCACAGACCGACCACAGACCGACCACAGACCGACCACAGACCGACTACAGACCGACCACAGACCGACCACAGACCGACCACAGACCGACCACAGACCGACCACAGACCGACCACAGACCGACCACAGACCGACCACAGACCGACCACAGTCCGACCACAGACCGACCACAGACCGACCACAGTCCGACCACAGACCGACCACAGACCGACCACAGTCCGACTACAGACCGACCACAGACCGACCACAGTCCGACTACAGACCGACCACAGACCGACCACAGTCCGACTACAGACTCAGACCACAGACAGACCACAGACCGACCACAGACCGACCACAGACCGACCACAGACCGACCACAGACTCAGACCACAGACCGACCACAGACCGACCACAGACCGACCACAGACCGACCACAGACCGACCACAGACCGACCACAGACCGACCACAGACCGACCACAGTCCGACCACAGACAGACCACAGACCGACCACAGACCGACCACAGACCGACCACAGACCGACCACAGACCGACCACAGACCGACCACAGACCGACCACAGACCGACCACAGACCGACCACAGACCGACCACAGACCGACCACAGACCAACCACAGACCGACCACAGACATAACAAACAGAAGAGACCTTTCTCTGTCTCACTTTATCTTCCTCATTCACCGTCAGGACTTTCCCAAAAACACACTTTTTTTAGTAAAATAATGTGGTTCATTTTGTTGTAGATTTGTCCAAACAGAAGCTGAGTCTCCTGTGATGTCATCAGTTCCAGGACGCAGCTACTTCCTGTCCACTTCTTTCCTTACAAAAGGTGTCACTCCACCACACAAAAAATCCAAATGATGAAATCCTTTAAAACTGCTGAATTCTCTTAAAATCAGTGGTTCATATTTTCTCCAAACGTTACAGATGTTTCAGGACGAACCGTTTCCGGCCCCGAGGTAAAATAAAGTTAAATTGACTTTAATGATGGGTTTATTCACAGTGTCCATCCATCCATCCATCCATCCATCCATTTTCTACCCTTTAATCCATTTCTGGGTCAGGGGGGCCACCCAAGTCTCACAGCACCAGCCCCTCACTGATCCTCTGCAGGTGGTGAGTCCACAGGAGCTGAGATCTTCCAGCGGGGGCTTTGGGCAAAGTGGGGTTAAGTGTCTTGCCCAAGGACACAACAACAGCAGTTATCAGTGGGAGTCGGTGGAGAAGGTGTAGAGGTGGGACTCACACTCACAGTGTGTGAGTTTTTACTATCGCTTTAGCGCTTGTGGGTTTTGTGTGAATGTTGTAGAATTCTGACAAAGACGTTGTGGAATTTTTTGTTTCCGATTGACTCTGGGATTACAGAGAAATTAGCTCAAAACTGAAACTAGAAATGTGACTTTTGACTGATTTTTCTGCTGCGTTTTGACACGATGTGAAACTGCCGACTCTTATCAAACATATATCACACAAACACAGCCTTTTGGAGCAGATTAGTGCCCTTTAATTATAACAGATTAGGGCCCTTTAATGATGACAGATTAGGGCCCTTTAATGATGACAGATTAGGGCCTTTCAATGATGACGGATTAGGGCCCTTCAATTATGACAGATTAGGGCCCTTTAATTACGACAGATTAGGGCCCTTTAATAATGACAGATTAGGGCCCTTTAATGATGACAGATTAGGGCCATCTAATTATAACAGATTAGGGCCCTTTGATGATGACAGATTAGGGCCCTTTATTGATGACAGATTAGGGCCCTTTAAGGATGACAGATTAGGGCCCTTTAATGATGACAGATTAGGGCCCTTTAATGATGACAGATTAGGGCCATCTAATGATGACAGATTAGGGCCCTTTGATGATGACAGATTAGGGCCCTTTAATGATGACAGATTAGGGCCCTTTAATGATGACAGATTAGGGCCCTTTAATTATGACAGATTAGGGCCATCTAATGATGACAGATTAGGGCCCTTTAATGATGACCCCTTTTTACAGCAGCAGGTGATTCTCAAATCTAAAATATCTGAGATCGAGATGGTTCCTGTAGTGTTCTCTGCACACATGGCTGTGTTTTGTGTTTTTATGGAATAAGAAAGAGTGTCCCGACGTGTCTCTCCGCGCAGATCCTGTCACGGCCCTTGGTCTGGGTGCAGTTTGCTGATTGGACGATGGTATCTGGATTCGCTGCAGGCTTCAGACTCTGAGTCACAGGAAGTGGCAGCGAGAGCGGCCTCCACACATGGAGGCAGTCTGCGCCACGTAAAAACACACGGCTACACACATGTAAGAGAGAGGAGAGAGACACAGAGGAGAGAGACACAGAGGAGAGAGACACAGAGGAGAGAGACACAGAGGAGAGAGACGCAGAGGAGAGAGGAGAGAGGAGAGAGACACAGAGGAGAGAGACACAGAGGAGAGAGACGCAGAGGAGAGAGGAGAGAGGAGAGAGACACAGAGGAGAGAGGAGAGAAACACAGAGGAGAGAGACACAGAGGAGAGAGACACAGAGGAGAGAGGACAGAGGAGAGAGACATAGAGGAGAGAGACACAGAGGAGAGAGACACAGAGGAGAGAGCGGCACAGAGGAGAGAGGACAGAGGAGAGAAACACAGAGGAGAGAGACACAGAGGAGAGAGGAGAGAAACACAGAGGAGAGAGACACAGAGGAGAGAGGAGAGAAACACAGAGGAGAGAGACACAGAGGAGAGAGACACAGAGACACAGAGGAGAGAGACACAGAGGAGAGAGACACAGAGGAGAGAGACGCAGAGGAGAGAGACACAGAGGAGAGAGACACAGGAGAGAGGACAGAGGAGAGAGACATAGAGGAGAGAGACACAGAGGAGAGAGACACAGAGGAGAGAGCGGCACAGAGGAGAGAGGACAGAGGAGAGAAACACAGAGGAGAGAGACACAGAGGAGAGAGGAGAGAAACACAGAGGAGAGAGACACAGAGGAGAGAGGAGAGAAACACAGAGGAGAGAGACACAGAGGAGAGAGACACAGAGGAGAGAGACACAGAGGAGAGAGACGCAGAGGAGAGAGACACAGAGGAGAGAGACACAGGAGAGAGACACAGAGGAGAGAGACACAGAGGAGAGAGACACAGAGGAGAGAGACACAGAGGAGAGAGACACAGAGGAGAGAGACACAGAGGAGAGAGACACAGAGGAGAGGAACACAGAGGAGAGAGACACAGAGGAGAGAGACACAGAGGAGAGAAACACAGAGGAGAGAGACACAGAGGAGAGAGACACAGAGAAGAGAGGAGAGAGACACAGAGGAGAGAGACACAGAGGAGAGAAATACACAGAGGAGAGAGACACAGAGGAGAGAGACACAGAGAAGAGAGACACAGAGGAGAGAGACACAGAGAAGAGAGACACAGAGGAGAGAGACACAGAGGAGAGAGACACAGAGGAGAGAGGAGAGAGACACAGAGGAGAGAGACACAGAGGAGAGAGACACAGAGGAGAGAAACACAGAGGAGAGAGACAGAGAGGAGAGAGATACAGAGGAGAGAGACACAGAGGAGAGAAACACAGAGGAGAGAGACACAGAGGAGAGAGACACAGAGGAGAGAGACACAGAGGAGAGAGGAGAGAGACACAGAGGAGAGAGACACAGAGGAGAGGGACACAGGAGAGAGACACAGAGGAGAGAGACACAGGAGAGAGACACAGGGGAGAGAGACACAGGGGAGAGAGGACAGAGGAGAGACACAGAGGAGAGAGGAGAGAGGAGAGAGACACAGAGGAGAGAGGAGAGAGACACAGAGGAGAGAGACACAGAGGAGGGACACAGAGAAGAGAGGAGAGAGACACAGAGGAGAGAGACACAGAGGAGAGAGACACAGAGGAGAGACACAGAGGAGAGAGGAGAGAGACACAGAGGAGAGAGACACAGGTGAGAGACACAGAGGAGAGAGGACGGAGACACAGAGGAGAGAGACACAGAGGAGAGAGGAGAGAGACACAGAGGAGAGAGACACAGAGGACAGAGACACAGAGGAGAGAGGACGGAGACACAGAGGAGAGAGGAGAGAGAGGAGAGAGACACAGAGGAGAGAGACACAGAGGAGAGAGACACAGAGGAGAGAGGAGAGAGACACAGAGGAGAGAGACACAGAGGAGAGGGACACAGGAGAGAGACACAGAGGAGAGAGACACAGGAGAGAGACACAGGGGAGAGAGACACAGGGGAGAGAGGACAGAGGAGAGACACAGAGGAGAGAGGAGAGAGGAGAGAGACACAGAGGAGAGAGGAGAGAGACACAGAGGAGAGAGACACAGAGGAGGGACACAGAGAAGAGAGGAGAGAGACACAGAGGAGAGAGACACAGAGGAGAGAGACACAGAGGAGAGACACAGAGGAGAGAGGAGAGAGACACAGAGGAGAGAGACACAGGTGAGAGACACAGAGGAGAGAGGACGGAGACACAGAGGAGAGAGACACAGAGGAGAGAGGAGAGAGACACAGAGGAGAGAGACACAGAGGACAGAGACACAGAGGAGAGAGGACGGAGACACAGAGGAGAGAGGAGAGAGAGACACAGAGGAGAGAGGAGAGAGACACAGAGGAGAGAGACACAGAGGAGAGAGACACAGAGGACAGAGACACAGAGGAGAGAGACACAGAGGACAGAGACACAGAGGAGAGAGGACGGAGACACAGAGGAGAGAGACACAGAGGAGAGAGAGGGGGGACACAGAGGAGAGAGACACAGAGGACAGAGGAGAGAGACACAGAGGAGAGAGGAGAGAGACACAGAGGAGAGAGACACAGAGGAGAGAGACACAGAGGAGAGAGGAGAGAGACACAGAGGAGAGAGACACAGAGGACAGAGACACAGAGGAGAGAGGACGGAGACACAGAGGAGAGAGGACGGAGACACAGAGGAGAGAGACACAGAGGAGAGAGAGGGGGGACACAGAGGAGAGAGACACAGAGGACAGAGGAGAGAGACACAGAGGAGAGAGGAGAGAGACACAGAGGAGAGAGACACAGAGGAGAGAGACACAGAGGACAGAGACACAGAGGAGAGAGGAGAGAGACACAGAGGAGAGAGACACAGAGGAGAGAGACACAGAGGACAGAGACACAGAGGAGAGAGGAGAGAGACACAGAGAAGAGAGACACAGAGGAGAGAGGAGAGAGACTCTAGTTGTGTTTCCATTGAATAATGCGCAAAACTTTTTCAACACATAGAAAAATTCAAAAAACCTGTATTTTGCAAAAGCGTCTGTTTCCGTTCATAGACATATTCGAGTAGTATATATTATTTTTGTGTTTTTTCACTAGTGTCTAGTACGTCAACATGGAAACAGAAGCAAACAACACTGTGATTTACGTGAGATATATGTCTTGACTTCTGCGGTGGCTCTCATCATTAAAGCGTCGGCGGCATCTCCTTGTGAGAGTAATGGGAAGTCGTGGTACATGATTTCACAGAGGAACTATGGATCCAAAACTTCAGAATGACGCGCACGACATTTGAGGAGCTGTGCGAAGCTTATGGCGCCCGCTGCACAAAGCCCTCGAGAGACATTTGGAGTGAGCAGGACCACAGTCCATGGGGTGTGTAAGGTTATGCACAAAACAGACAAATAAGGGCCCTTTAATGATGACCCAACATGAAAATCCTAAATATTGTTTCTTTAATATAAAATAGAAAATGTAACACCTTCCTTTCGTTTCAAACATCAAAGTGACAGATATCCTGAATGGTCGTGGGCTGAAGCTAAAGCTCCAGTCCCTGAGACGTGAGCACAGTCTGGGTTCAAAGCCATCAGTAAAACATCTGAAACCGGGACACTCGTCTGGATCTGTTGCTGTCGTCTCTGAAGCACATTACGCTCAGAGAATCACACCCAATCTTCCTCCAAAACTTCCCATTCTGATCCTCTGCTCGCTCGGGCCTCGTCGCGGGCGCCAGATAAAGAGGAAAAATCAATACTCAGATAAAAGACGGAGAGAGGGCGAGAGTGAGTGAATTAAAGCCTCAGAAATATCCTTTCAGCGCCGCAGCCGTCCATAAACAGCCGAGGGCCCGTCCTCTCCCGTCCATCACCGACCGGACCAACGCCGGACTCGCTTTGTTCCCCTTTGATTTCCTTCTTCGTCCCATTTTCCTTTTCTTTGTGTTTTGGGATGAGGAGCGAACAGCACCGGGACACAATGAGAAGAAGTGGTGTTGGTTTCTGCTCTGACAGACACGGAGACGGAGGTGAAGGGATGAAGCCATTTTTAAACTGTATTTTATTTTAACTTTTATTAAAGCAACGGAAACATCATCCAAACATGTCTCTGTGAAAGAAGGTCCAGGGGAGGTCTTTGGGAAGGTCCAGGGGAAGTCTTTGGGAAGGTCCAGGGGAAGTCTTTGGGAAGGTCCAGGGGAAGTCTTTGGGAAGGTCCAGGGGAAGTCTTTGGGAAGGTCCAGGGGATGTCTTTGGGAAGGTCCAAGGGGATGTCTTTGGGAAGGTCCAAGGGGATGTCTTTGGGAAGGTCCAGGGGATGTCTTTGGGAAGGTCCAGGGGAAGTCTTTGGGAAGGTCCAGGGGAAGTCTTTGGGAAGGTCCAGGGGAAGTCTTTGGGAAGGTCCAGGGGATGTCTTTGGGAAGGTCCAAGGGGATGTCTTTGGGAAGGTCCAAGGGGATGTCTTTGGGAAGGTCCAGGGGAAGTCTTTGGGAAGGTCCAGGGGATGTCTTTGGGAAGGTCCAGGGAAAGTCTTTGGGAAGGTCCAGGGGAAGTCTTTGGGAAGGTCCAGGGGAAGTCTTAGGTCCAGGGGAAGTCTTTGGGAAGGTCCAGGGGATGTCTTTGGGAAGGTCCAGGGAAAGTCTTTGGGAAGGTCCAGGGGAAGTCTTTGGGAAGGTCCAGGGGAAGTCTTTGGGAAGGTCCAGGGGAAGTCTTTGGGAAGGTCCAGGGGAAGTCTTTGGGAAGGTCCAGGGGATGTCTTTGGGAAGGTCCAAGGGGATGTCTTTGGGAAGGTCCAAGGGGATGTCTTTGGGAAGGTCCAGGGGATGTCTTTGGGAAGGTCCAGGGGAAGTCTTTGGGAAGGTCCAGGGGAAGTCTTTGGGAAGGTCCAGGGGAAGTCTTTGGGAAGGTCCAGGGGATGTCTTTGGGAAGGTCCAAGGGGATGTCTTTGGGAAGGTCCAAGGGGATGTCTTTGGGAAGGTCCAGGGGAAGTCTTTGGGAAGGTCCAGGGGAAGTCTTTGGGAAGGTCCAGGGAAGTCTTTGGGAAGGTCCAGGGGAAGTCTTTGGGAAGGTCCAGGGGAAGTCTTTGGAAGGTCCAGGGGAAGTCTTTGGGAAGGTCCAGGGGATGTCTTTGGGATGGTCCAGGGAAAGTCTTTGGGAAGGTCCAGGGGAAGTCTTTGGGAAGGTCCAGGGGAAGTCTTAGGTCCAGGGGAAGTCTTTGGGAAGGTCCAGGGGAAGTCTTTGGGAAGGTCCAGGGGATGTCTTTGGGAAGGTCCAGGGAAAGTCTTTGGGAAGGTCCAGGGGAAGTCTTTGGGAAGGTCCAGGGGAAGTCTTTGGGAAGGTCCAGGGGAAGTCTTTGGGAAGGTCCAGGGGAAGTCTTTGGGAAGGTCCAGGGGATGTCTTTGGGAAGGTCCAAGGGGATGTCTTTGGGAAGGTCCAAGGGGATGTCTTTGGGAAGGTCCAGGGGATGTCTTTGGGAAGGTCCAGGGGAAGTCTTTGGGAAGGTCCAGGGGAAGTCTTTGGGAAGGTCCAGGGGAAGTCTTTGGGAAGGTCCAGGGGATGTCTTTGGGAAGGTCCAAGGGGATGTCTTTGGGAAGGTCCAAGGGGATGTCTTTGGGAAGGTCCAGGGGAAGTCTTTGGGAAGGTCCAGGGGATGTCTTTGGGAAGGTCCAGGGGAAGTCTTTGGGAAGGTCCAGGGGAAGTCTTAGGTCCAGGGGAAGTCTTTGGGAAGGTCCAGGGGATGTCTTTGGGAAGGTCCAGGGAAAGTCTTTGGGAAGGTCCAGGGGAAGTCTTTGGGAAGGTCCAGGGGAAGTCTTAGGTCCAGGGGAAGTCTTTGGGAAGGTCCAGGGGATGTCTTTGGGAAGGTCCAGGGGAAGTCTTTGGGAAGGTCCAGGGGAAGTCTTTGGGAAGGTCCAGGGGAAGTCTTTGGGAAGGTCCAGGGGAAGTCTTTGGGAAGGTCCAGGGGAAGTCTTTGGGAAGGTCCAAGGGGATGTCTTTGGGAAGGTCCAAGGGGATGTCTTTGGGAAGGTCCAGGGGAAGTCTTTTGGAAGGTCCAGGGGAAGTCTTTGGGAAGGTCCAGGGGAAGTCTTTGGGAAGGTCCAGGGGAGTCTTTGGGAAGGTCCAAGGGGATGTCTTTGGGAAGGTCCAAGGGGATGTCTTTGGGAAGGTCCAGGGGAAGTCTTTTGGGAAGGTCCAGGGGAAGTCTTTGGGAAGGTCCAGGGGAAGTCTTTGGGAAGGTCCAGGGGGAGTCTTTGGGAAGGTCCAGGGGAAGTCTTTGGGAAGGTCCAAGGGGATGTCTTTGGGAAGGTCCAGGGGAAGTCTTTGGGAAGGTCCAGGGGGAGTCTTTGGGAAGGTCCAGGGGAAGTCTTTGGGAAGGTCCAAGGGGATGTCTTTGGGAAGGTCCAGGGGAAGTCTTAGGTCCAGGGGAAGTCTTTGGGAAGGTCCAGGGGAAGTCTTTGGGAAGGTCCAGGGAAAGTCTTTGGGAAGGTCCAGGGGAAGTCTTTGGGAAGGTCCAGGGGAAGTCTTAGGTCCAGGGGAAGTCTTTGGGAAGGTCCAGGGGAAGTCTTTGGGAAGGTCCAGGGGAAGTCTTTGGGAAGGTCCAAGGGGATGTCTTTGGGAAGGTCCAGGGGAAGTCTTTGGGAAGGTCCAGGGGAAGTCTTTGGGAAGGTCCAGGGGAAGTCTTTGGGAAGGTCCAGGGGAAGTCTTTGGGAGGACTTCAAACACTGTAAAAAATGAGACAAAAAATTCTTTCATTTGGAGGAATGTGTCCTAATCTGAGCTCATTATTTGTTTGTTTCGGGTATTTCTCAAAAGTCACCTCTTGTCAATCATAGTCTCCAACAAAACATAAATAAAGTGTTGCTGACGTGTATAAGAGGGAATCAATAAAAACAAAACAGTGTCTGAAATGGAGCAGGAGGAAATGTGTTTAATCCTGCCCCATTAAACATGTCCTGTCATCACGTCATAAGCCCCTCTGCCCCTCTGCAGGTGGGGGGTCCACGGGAAGATGGCGTCTCCGTGATCGAAGACAAGGCCTTGATCTTTCAGCGGGGGCTTCAGGCAAAGTGGGGTAAAGTGTGTTGCCCAGGGACACAACGACAGCAGTCATCAGTGGGAGCAGATGTCATGGGTCGTGGGGGATCGAACCAACTGAGCCACTGTCGCCAATAAAACTGATTTAACACAAATTATCTTCACTGCTTTAAACACAGATTTCCAAAAAGACAAATCAAAATGATCTAGTTTTAAAAATATACAGAAATGTCTCCTTTAAATGAGGAAATAATGTTAATGTTTAAGTTAAACTAAATTGACCTGTGACAGTTGGACTCAGATCTAAACCTTTATTTTTAAACTGGATTATTCTTTGTCATTTTCAAATGTTTCATATTCTGTACTGCAAAAGCTGCTACGGAGACTACTGCTACTGCTACTGCTACTGCTACTGCTAATGCTACTGCTACTGCTAATGCTACTGCTACTGCTGCTGCTACTGCTACTGCTACTGCTACTGCTAATGCTACTGCTACTGCTAATGCTACTGCTACTGCTGCTGCTACTGCTACTGCTACTGCTACTGCTAATGCTACTGCTACTGCTACTGCTAATGCTACTGCTACTGCTGCTGCTACTGCTACTGCTACTGCTAATGCTACTGCTACTGCTAATGCTACTGCTACTGCTGCTGCTACTGCTACTGCTAATGCTACTGCTACTGCTAATGCTACTGCTACTGCTAGTGCTACTGCTAATGCTACTGCTGCTACTGCTGCTGCTCCTGCTGCTACTGCTACTATTGCTACTGCTGCTGCTACTGCTGCTGCTAATGCTGCTGCTGCTGCTGCTGCTACTGCTACTGCTGCTGCTACTGCTACTGCTACTGCTAATGCTACTGCTACTGCTAATGCTACTGCTACTGCTACTGCTACTGCTACTGCTAATGCTACTGCTACTGCTACTGCTACTGCTACTGCTGCTGCTACTGCTACTGCTACTGCTACTGCTAATGCTACTGCTACTGCTACTGCTAATGCTACTGCTACTGCTGCTGCTACTGCTACTGCTACTGCTAATGCTACTGCTACTGCTAATGCTACTGCTACTGCTGCTGCTACTGCTACTGCTAATGCTACTGCTACTGCTAATGCTACTGCTACTGCTAGTGCTACTGCTAATGCTACTGCTGCTACTGCTGCTGCTCCTGCTGCTACTGCTACTATTGCTACTGCTGCTGCTACTGCTGCTGCTAATGCTGCTGCTGCTGCTGCTGCTACTGCTACTGCTGCTGCTACTGCTGCTGCTAATGCTACTGCTACTGCTGCTGCTACTGCTACTGCTACTGCTACTGCTAATGCTACTGCTACTGCTGCTGCTACTGCTGCTACTACTGCTACTGCTGCTGCTCCTGCTGCTGCTCCTGCTGCTACTGCTACTATTGCTACTGCTGCTTCTGCTTCTGCTACTGCTGTTACTGCTACTACTACAACTACTGTTACTACTGCTACTACTGTTACTGCTACTGCTACTGCTACTACTACTACTGCTACTACTACTACTGCTACTACTACTACTACTGCTTCTGCTGCTGCTACTGCTACTACTGCTTCTGCTGCTGCTACTGCTACTACTACTACTGCTGCTTCTGCTACTACTGCTGCTTCTACTACTGCTACTACTGCTACTACTGCTACTGTTACTATCACTACTGCTCCTGCTTCTGAAATAATCCTCACAGATTCTTCAGATAACTTTGTGTGATTATTATTATTTGAGGTTTTGTGCGTTTAACCTCTGGCCGCAGTAAAACATAAACCGGTTTGGACCCTTTGTTTCTGGCCTAAACCAGGCTGAGGGTCCCATTCAAGACCTCCATAACTCAGGCCCTGGATCGATGCAGCGCTGGTCTGCGGGGGGGGTCTGCGGGGGTCTGCGGGGGTCTGATAACACAATCAATACAACATTTGTGTTTTAATGAGAGCATGACGCACACATGTCCCCACAGACCTATGTTTGAGCTGTCTGCTTTGGAGGAACAGCTGATGGAAGCTGAAGAGAGCCGTAATCTGGATTCTGTAATCTGGATTCTGTAATCTGGATTCTGTAATCTGGATTCTGTAATCTGGATTCTGTAATCTGGACATGACAGTGGAGGACAAAGGGAGGAAGGAGGACAAACATGGCGACGAAATGAGGACGGAAACTTGCTGAATGTGAGAAACTGAAGCTAGATGTGGACAACAGAGACCAGAGAGACCAGAAAGACCAGAGAGACCAGAGAGACCAGAGAGACCAGAGAGACCAGAGAGACCAGAAAGACCAGAGAGACCAGAGAGACCAGAAAGACCAGAGAGACCAGAGAGTCTAGAGAGACCAGAGAGACCAGAAAGACCAGAGAGACCAGAGAGACCAGAGATACCAGAGAGACCAGAGAGACCAGAAAGACCAGAGAGACCAGAGAGACCAGAGAGACCAGAAAGACCAGAGAGACCAGAGAGACCAGAGAGACCAGAGAGACCAGAGAGTCTAGAGAGACCAGAGAGACCAGAAAGACCAGAGAGACCAGAAAGACCAGAGAGACCAGAGAGACCAGAGAGACCAGAAAGACCAGAGAGACCAGAGAGACCAGAGAGACCAGAAAGACCAGAGAGACCACTCGCCGCTCTCACACGCCGCTCTCACACGCCGCTCTCACTCGCCGCTCTCACACGCCGCTCTCACTCGCCGCTCTCACTCGCCGCTCTCACACGCCGCTCTCACTCGCCGCCCTCACACGCCGCTCTCACACGCCGCTCTCACTCGCCGCCCTCACACGCCGCTCTCACTCGCCGCTCTCACTCGCCGCTCTCACTCGCCGCTCTCACACGCCGCTCTCACTCGCACGCTCTCACTCGCCGCTCTCACTCGCCGCTCTCACTCGCCGCTCACACTCGCCGCTCTCACTCGCCGCCCTCACTCGCCGCCCTCACTCGCCGCCCTCACTCGCCGCTCTCACTCGCCGCTCTCACACGCCGCTCTCACTCGCCGCTCTCACTCGCCGCTCTCACTCGCCGCCCTCACACGCCGCTCTCACTCGCCGCTCTCACTCGCCGCTCTCACCTCGCCGCCCTCACTCGCCGCCCTCACTCGCCGCCCTCACACGCCGCTCTCACACGCCGCTCTCACTCGCCGCTCTCACTCGCCGCTCTCACTCGCCGCTCTCACTCGCCGCTCTCACTCGCCGCCCTCACACGCCGCTCTCACTCGCCGCTCTCACTCGCCGCTCTCACTCGCCGCTATCGCCGCTCTCACACGCCGCTCTCACTCGCCGCCCTCACACGCCGCTCTCACTCGCCGCTCTCACTCGCCGCTCTCACTCGCCGCTCTCACACGCCGCTCTCACTCGCCGCTCTCACACGCCGCTCTCACTCGCCGCTCTCACTCGCCGCTCTCACTCGCCGCCCTCACTCGCCGCCCTCACTCGCCGCCCTCACTCGCCGCTCTCACTCGCCGCTCTCACACGCCGCTCTCACTCGCCGCTCTCACTCGCCGCTCTCACTCGCCGCTCTCACTCGCCGCTCTCACACGCCGCTCTCACTCGCCGCTCTCACTCGCCGCTCTCACTCGCCGCCCTCACTCGCCGCCCTCACACGCCGCTCTCACACGCCGCTCTCACTCGCCGCCCTCACACGCCGCTCTCACTCGCCGCTCTCACTCGCCGCTCTCACTCGCCGCCCTCACTCGCCGCCCTCACTCGCCGCCCTCACACGCCGCTCTCACACGCCGCTCTCACTCGCCGCTCTCACTCGCCGCTCTCACTCGCCGCTCTCACTCGCCGCTCTCACTCGCCGCCCTCACTCGCCGCTCTCACTCGCCGCTCTCACACGCCGCTCTCACTCGCCGCTCTCACTCGCCGCTCTCACTCGCCGCCCTCACACGCCGCTCTCACTCGCCGCTCTCACTCGCCGCTCTCACTCGCCGCCCTCACTCGCCGCCCTCACTCGCCGCCCTCACACGCCGCTCTCACTCGCCGCTCTCACTCGCCGCTCTCACTCGCCGCTCTCACTCGCCGCTCTCACTCGCCGCCCTCACTCGCCGCTCTCACTCGCCGCCCTCACACGCCGCCCTCACTCGCCGCTCTCACACGCCGCCCTCACACGCCGCTCTCACTCGCCGCCCTCACACGCCGCTCTCACTCGCCGCTCTCACTCGCCGCTCTCACACGCCGCTCTCACTCGCCGCCCTCACTCGCCGCTCTCACTCGCCGCTCTCACTCGCCGCTCTCACTCGCCGCTCTCACTCGCCGCTCTCACTCGCCGCCCTCACACGCCGCCCTCACACGCCGCTCTCACTCGCCGCTCTCACTCGCCGCTCTCACACGCCGCTCTCACTCGCCGCCCTCACTCGCCGCTCTCACTCGCCGCTCTCACACGCCGCCCTCACTCGCCGCTCTCACTCGCCGCTCTCACTCGCCGCTCTCACACGCCGCTCTCACACGCCGCCCTCACTCGCCGCTCTCACTCGCCGCTCTCACTCGCCGCTCTCACTCGCCGCTCTCACTCGCCGCTCTCACTCGCCGCTCTCACTTGCCGCTCTCACTTGCCGCTCTCACACGCCGCTCTCACACGCCGCTCTCACTCGCCGCTCTCACTCGCCGCTCTCACTCGCCGCTCTCACACGCCGCTCTCACTCGCCGCTCTCACTCGCCGCTCTCACTCGCCGCTCTCACTCGCCGCTCTCACTCGCCGCCCTCACTCGCCGCTCTCACTCGCCGCCCTCACTCGCCGCTCTCACACGCCGCTCTCACTCGCCGCTCTCACTTGCCGCTCTCACTCGCCGCCCTCACTCGCCGCCCTCACACGCCGCCCTCACTCGCCGCCCTCACACGCCGCTCTCACACGCCGCCCTCACTCGCCGCTCTCACTCGCCGCTCTCACACTCGCCGCCCTCACTCGCCGCTCTCACTCGCCGCTCTCACTCGCCGCCCTCACTCGCCGCCCTCACACGCCGCCCTCACTCGCCGCCCTCACACGCCGCTCTCACACGCCGCCCTCACTCGCCGCTCTCACTCGCCGCTCTCACTCGCCGCCCTCACTCGCCGCCCTCACTCGCCGCCCTCACACGCCGCTCTCACTCGCCGCTCTCACTCGCCGCTCTCACTCGCCGCCCTCACTCGCCGCTCTCACTCGCCGCTCTCACTCGCCGCTCTCACTCGCCGCTCTCACTCGCCGCTCTCACTCGCCGCCCTCACTCGCCGCCCTCACTCGCCGCTCTCACTCGCCGCTCTCACTCGCCGCTCTCACTCGCCGCTCTCACTTGCCGCTCTCACACGCCGCTCTCACACGCCGCCCTCACTCGCCGCTCTCACTCGCCGCCACTCACTCGCCGCTCTCACACGCCGCTCTCACTCGCCGCCCTCACACGCCGCTCTCACTCGCCGCTCTCACTCGCCGCTCTCACACGCCGCTCTCACTCGCCGCTCTCACTCGCCGCCCTCACTCGCCGCTCTCACTCGCCGCTCTCACTCGCCGCTCTCACACGCCGCTCTCACTCGCCGCCCTCACTCGCCGCCCTCACTCGCCGCCCTCACTCGCCGCTCTCACACGCCGCTCTCACTCGCCGCCCTCACTCGCCGCTCTCACTCGCCGCTCTCACTCGCCGCTCTCACTCGCCGCCCTCACTCGCCGCCCTCACACGCCGCTCTCACTCGCCGCTCTCACTCGCCGCTCTCACACGCCGCTCTCACTCGCCGCTCTCACTCGCCGCTCTCACTCGCCGCTCTCACTCGCCGCTCTCACTCGCCGCCCTCACTCGCCGCCCTCACTCGCCGCTCTCACTCGCCGCCCTCACTCGCCGCTCTCACTCGCCGCTCTCACTCGCCGCCCTCACTCGCCGCTCTCACTCGCCGCTCTCACTCGCCGCTCTCACACGCCGCTCTCACTCGCCGCCCTCACTCGCCGCCCTCACTCGCCGCCCTCACTCGCCGCTCTCACACGCCGCTCTCACTCGCCGCCCTCACTCGCCGCTCTCACTCGCCGCTCTCACTCGCCGCTCTCACTCGCCGCCTCACTCGCCGCCCTCACTCGCCGCCCTCACACGCCGCTCTCACTCGCCGCTCTCACTCGCCGCTCTCACACGCCGCTCTCACTCGCCGCTCTCACTCGCCGCTCTCACTCGCCGCTCTCACTCGCCGCTCTCACTCGCCGCCACTCACTCGCCGCCCTCACTCGCCGCTCTCACTCGCCGCCCTCACTCGCCGCTCTCACTCGCCGCTCTCACTCGCCGCTCTCACTCGCCGCTCTCACTCGCCGCCCTCACTCGCCGCTCTCACTCGCCGCTCTCACTCGCCGCCTCACTCGCCGCCTCACTCGCCGCCCTCACTCGCCGCCCTCACACGCCGCTCTCACTCGCCGCCCTCACTCGCCGCTCTCACTTGCCGCTCTCACTTGCCGCTCTCACTCGCCGCCCTCACACGCCGCTCTCACTCGCCGCACTCACTCGCCGCTCTCACACGCCGCCCTCACACGCCGCCCTCACACGCCGCTCTCACACGCCGCCCTCACACGCCGCCCTCACACGCCGCTCCACTCGCCGCTCTCACTCGCCGCTCTCACACGCCGCTCTCACTCGCCGCTCTCACTCGCCGCCCTCACTTGCCGCTCTCACTCGCCGCCCTCACACGCCGCTCTCACTCGCCGCCCTCACTCGCCGCTCTCACTCGCCGCCCTCACTCGCCGCTCTCACTCGCCGCTCTCACTCGCCGCCCTCACTCGCCGCTCTCACTCGCCGCTCTCACTCGCCGCTCTCACTCGCCGCTCTCACTCGCCGCTCTCACTCGCCGCCCTCACTCGCCGCTCTCACTCGCCGCTCTCACTCGCCGCTCTCACTCGCCGCTCTCACTCGCCGCTCTCACTCGCTCCACTCTCACTCGCCGCCCTCACACGCCGCCCTCACACGCCGCTCTCACTCGCCGCTCTCACTCGCCGCTCTCACACGCCGCTCTCACTCGCCGCCCTCACTCGCCGCTCTCACACACCGCCCTCACACGCCGCCCTCACTCGCCGCTCTCACTCGCCGCCCTCACACGCCGCTCTCACTCGCCGCCCTCACTCGCCGCTCTCACACGCCGCCCTCACTCGCCGCTCTCACTCGCCGCTCTCACACGCCGCCCTCACTCGCCGCCCTCACTCGCCGCTCTCACTCGCCGCCCTCACACGCCGCCCTCACTCGCCGCTCTCACACGCCACCCTCACACGCCGCCCTCACTCGCCGCTCTCACTCGCCGCCCTCACACGCCGCTCTCACTCGCCGCTCTCACTCGCCGCTCTCACTCGCCGCTCTCACTCGCCGCTCTCACTCGCCGCCCTCACACGCCGCCCTCACACGCCGCTCTCACTCGCCGCTCTCACTCGCCGCTCTCACACGCCGCCCTCACTCGCCGCTCTCACACGCCGCCCTCACTCGCCGCTCTCACTCGCCGCTCTCACACGCCGCCCTCACTCGCCGCCCTCACTCGCCGCTCTCACTCGCCGCCCTCACACGCCGCCCTCACTCGCCGCTCTCACACGCCACCCTCACACGCCGCCCTCACTCGCCGCTCTCACTCGCCGCCCTCACACGCCGCTCTCACTCGCCGCTCTCACTCGCCGCTCTCACTCGCCGCTCTCACTCGCCGCTCTCACTCGCCGCCCTCACACGCCGCCCTCACACGCCGCTCTCACTCGCCGCTCTCACTCGCCGCTCTCACACGCCGCTCTCACTCGCCGCCCTCACTCGCCGCTCTCACTCGCCGCTCTCACTCGCCGCTCTCACACGCCGCTCTCACTCGCCGCTCTCACTCGCCGCCCTCACTTGCCGCTCTCACTCGCCGCCCTCACACGCCGCTCTCACTCGCCGCCCTCACTCGCCGCTCTCACTCGCCGCCCTCACTCGCCGCTCTCACTCGCCGCCCTCACACGCCGCTCTCACTCGCCGCTCTCACTCGCCGCTCTCACACGCCGCTCTCACTCGCCGCTCTCACTCGCCGCCCTCACTTGCCGCTCTCACTCGCCGCCCTCACACGCCGCTCTCACTCGCCGCCCTCACTCGCCGCTCTCACTCGCCGCCCTCACTCGCCGCTCTCACTCGCCGCTCTCACTCGCCGCCCTCACTCGCCGCTCTCACTCGCCGCTCTCACTCGCCGCTCTCACTCGCCGCTCTCACTCGCCGCCCTCACTCGCCGCTCTCACTCGCCGCTCTCACTCGCCGCTCTCACTCGCCGCTCTCACTCGCCGCTCTCACTCGCCGCCCTCACACGCCGCCCTCACACGCCGCTCTCACTCGCCGCTCTCACTCGCCGCTCTCACACGCCGCTCTCACTCGCCGCCCTCACTCGCCGCTCTCACACACCGCCCTCACACGCCGCCCTCACTCGCCGCTCTCACTCGCCGCCCTCACACGCCGCTCTCACTCGCCGCCCTCACTCGCCGCTCTCACACGCCGCCCTCACTCGCCGCTCTCACTCGCCGCTCTCACACGCCGCCCTCACTCGCCGCCCTCACTCGCCGCTCTCACTCGCCGCCCTCACACGCCGCCCTCACTCGCCGCTCTCACACGCCACCCTCACACGCCGCCCTCACTCGCCGCTCTCACTCGCCGCCCTCACACGCCACCCTCACACGCCGCCCTCACACGCCGCTCTCACTCGCCGCCCTCACACGCCGCCCTCACACGCCGCTCTCACTCGCCGCTCTCACTCGCCGCTCTCACACGCCGCTCTCACTCGCCGCCCTCACTCGCCGCTCTCACTCGCCGCTCTCACTCGCCGCTCTCACTCGCCGCTCTCACTCGCCGCCCTCACTCGCCGCTCTCACACACCGCCCTCACACGCCGCCCTCACTCGCCGCTCTCACTCGCCGCCCTCACACGCCGCTCTCACTCGCCGCCCTCACTCGCCGCTCTCACACGCCGCCCTCACTCGCCGCTCTCACTCGCCGCTCTCACACGCCGCCCTCACTCGCCGCCCTCACTCGCCGCCCTCACTCGCCGCCCTCACACGCCGCCCTCACTCGCCGCTCTCACACGCCACCCTCACACGCCGCCCTCACTCGCCGCTCTCACTCGCCGCCCTCACACGCCGCTCTCACTCGCCGCTCTCACTCGCCGCTCTCACTCGCCGCTCTCACTCGCCGCTCTCACACGCCGCCCTCACACGCCGCCCTCACACGCCGCTCTCACTCGCCGCTCTCACTCGCCGCTCTCACACGCCGCTCTCACTCGCCGCCCTCACTCGCCGCTCTCACTCGCCGCTCTCACTCGCCGCTCTCACTCGCCGCTCTCACTTGCCGCTCTCACACGCCGCTCTCACACGCCGCTCTCACTCGCCGCTCTCACTCGCCGCTCTCACTCGCCGCTCTCACTCGCCGCTCTCACTCGCCGCCCTCACTCGCCGCCCTCACCGCCCTCACCGCCGCTCTCACTCGCCGCCCTCACTCACCGCCGCTCTCACACGCCGCTCTCACTCGCCGCTCTCACTCGCCGCTCTCACCCGCCGCCCTCACTCGCCGCCCTCACACGCCGCCCTCACTCGCCGCCCTCACACGCCGCTCTCACACGCCGCCCTCACTCGCCGCTCTCACTCGCCGCCCTCACTCGCCGCTCTCACTCGCCGCTCTCACTCGCCGCCCTCACACGCCGCTCTCACTCGCCGCCCTCACTCGCCGCCCTCACTCGCCGCTCTCACTCGCCGCCCTCACTCGCCGCCCTCACTCGCCGCTCTCACACGCCGCCCTCACTCGCCGCCCTCACTCGCCGCTCTCACTCGCCGCTCTCACCGCCGCTCTCACACGCCGCTCTCACTCGCCGCCCTCACTCGCCGCCCTCACACGCCGCTCTCACTCGCCGCTCTCACACGCCGCTCTCACTCGCCGCCCTCACTCGCCGCCCTCACACGCCGCTCTCACTCGCCGCCCTCACACGCCGCTCTCACACGCCGCTCTCACTCGCCGCCCTCACTCGCCGCCCTCACACGCCGCTCTCACTCGCCGCCCTCACACGCCGCTCTCACACGCCGCTCTCACTCGCCGCCCTCACTCGCCGCTCTCACTCGCCGCTCTCACACGCCGCTCTCACTCGCCGCTCTCACTCGCCGCTCTCACACACACGCCGCTCTCACACGCCGCTCTCACTCGCCGCTCTCACTCGCCGCTCTCACTCGCCGCTCTCACTCGCCGCTCTCACTCGCCGCTCTCACACGCCGCTCTCACACGCCGCTCTCACTCGCTCTCACTCTCACTCGCCGCTCTCACACGCCGCTCTCACTCGCCGCCCCCCTCACTCGCCGCTCTCACTCGCCGCTCTCACTCGCCGCCCTCACTCGCCGCCCTCACACGCCGCCCTCACACGCCGCTCTCACTCGCCGCCCTCACTCGCCGCCCCACCGCGCTCACACGCCGCTCTCACTCGCCGCTCTCACTCGCCGCTCTCACACGCCGCTCTCACACGCCGCTCTCACACGCCGCTCTCACTCGCCGCTCTCACTCGCCGCTCTCACACGCCGCTCTCACTCGCCGCTCTCACTCGCCGCTCTCACTCGCCGCCCTCACACGCCGCCTCACACGCCGCTCTCACACGCCGCTCTCACACGCCGCTCTCACACCCGCTCTCACACGCCGCTCTCACACGCCGCTCTCACACGCCGCTCTCACACGCCGCCCTCACACGCCGCTCTCACACGCCGCTCTCACACGCCGCTCTCACACGCCGCTCTCACACGCCGCTCTCACACGCCGCTCTCACTCGCCGCCGCTCACACGCCGCTCTCACACGCCGCTCTCACACGCCGCTCTCACTCGCCGCTCTCACTCGCCGCTCTCACACGCCGCTCTCACTCGCCGCTCTCACTCGCCGCTCTCACTCGCCGCCCTCACTCGCCGCTCTCACTCGCCGCCCTCACACGCCGCTCTCACACGCCGCTCTCACACGCCGCTCTCACACGCCGCTCTCACACGCCGCTCTCACACGCCGCCCTCACTCGCCGCTCTCACTCGCCGCTCTCACACGCCGCTCTCACTCGCCGCTCTCACTCGCCGCTCTCACACGCCGCTCTCACTCGCCGCTCTCACACGCCGCTCTCACTCGCCGCTCTCACTCGCCGCTCTCACTCGCCGCCCTCACTCGCCGCTCTCACACGCCGCCCTCACTCGCCGCTCTCACTCGCCGCTCTCACACGCCGCTCTCACTCGCCGCTCTCACTCGCCGCTCTCACTCGCCGCTCCAGCCGATACCGCCGTCCCATGAGCGCCCGGCTGAAGTGGCCCTTCTCCCGCCGCACTCGTCCTCTTCGCTGTGAGCCAATCTGGAAGGGATCATGGCCCAGTCGTGTGATTTGGTGAGCGTGGTCGCTGGTTACAACCAATCAATAGTGAATCAAGAGGAGAGAGTTCTTAGATAACCGTAAAGCAACCTCCGGCTATTCATCATAAAGTGCGCTCCGGCGCGAGAGGTCGAGGGGACGGTTTGGAGAGCTGCTTATCAGGCCACAGCAGGGACGCATCACGATCAATAGCAAACCTCTTCTGTGGCACTTGCAATTATCAACAGCTGATCCCCCCCCCCCCCCCCCCCCCCCCCTCCCCCCTCCTGCCTGTTAATAACACATAATTACAAGTTTGGGGACAATGCCAAGCCGAGGGATTACAGCTGTGGAGAAGTATGCGTCTGTTTTGGCGGTGAAATGTCGACGGTTTGAAGAAAGGGGGAGGAGCCTCAGCTTTAGAACAAGATAGAAGGTTTCATTTTTAACGCTTTGTTGATGTTTGGATTGTAATTGTTAATATTGCTGCATACATTAGATTTAAAGTGCATTTTGGAGCCCGCGGTCATCTCCCTTTGGACCAATGACTTCATGTGTTTGTTATTATTGTATTTTAACTGGTTTATTCTCTGATATGACAAGGCAAGTTTATCTGTATAGCACCGGTCATACACGAGGCAGCTCAAAGGCAAATCATGAACAATCAGAGGACATTAGAAAGAGTAACTGATCGATTGTTGAGGAATCGGCAACTTTGTAAAGTCGTTGTGATTTGGAGCTGTGGTAAAATACATGTGTTTGAAATGAGGTCAGTTACTGTTGGTGCCACAGCTGCCCTGGGACAGACTGAAGATGGTGCATGTCCGACCACCACAAGGATCGATGATAATCATGGACTATTATGGAGTCTGTGGCTGGTCCCAGAGTCTGCTGCTGGTCCCAGTCTGCTGCTGGTCCCAGAGTCTGCTGCTGGTCCCAGAGTCTCCTGCTGGTCCCAGAGTCTGCTGCTGGTCCCAGAGTCTCCTGCTGGTCCCAAAGTCTGCTGCTGGTCCCAGTGTCTCCTGCTGGTCCCAGAGTCTGCTGCTTGTCCCAGAGTCTCCTGCTGGTCCCAGAGTCTCCTGCTGGTCCCAGAGTCTGCTGCTTGTCCCAGAGTCTCCTGCTGGTCCCAGAGTCTCCTGCTGGTCCCAGAGTCTGCTGCTGGTCCCAGAGTCTGCTGCTGGTCCCAGAGTCTCCTGCTGGTCCCAAAGTCTGCTGCTGGTCCCAGAGTCTGCTGCTGGTCCCAGAGTCTGCTGCTGGTCCCAGAGTCTGCTGCTGGTCCCAGCTGCTGCTGGTCCCAGCTGCTGCTGGTCCCAGAGTCTGCTGCTGGTCCCAGAGTCTGCTGCTGGTCCCAGAGTCTGCTGCTGGTCCCAGTCTGCTGCTGGTCCCAGAGTCTGCTGCTGGTCCCAGCTGCTGCTGGTCCCAGAGTCTGCTGCTGGTCCCAGAGTCTGCTGCTGGTCCCAGAGTCTGCTGCTGGTCCCAGTCTGCTGCTGGTCCCAGAGTCTGCTGCTTGTCCCAGAGTCTCCTGCTGGTCCCAGTCTGCTGCTGTGTGTGTACACACATGTACAGATGTTGGTGCAGTTCTACACGGCCATCATCGAGTCCATCCTCACCTCCTCCATCACCTCCTCCATCACCTCCTCCATCAGCTCCTCCATCACCTCCTCCATCACCTCCTCCATCACCTCCTCCATCACCTCCTCCATCACCTCCTCCATCAGCTCCTCCATCACCTCCTCCATCACCTCCTCCATCAGCTCCTCCATCACCTCCTCCATCACCTCCTCCATCAGCTCCTCCATCACCTCCTCCATCACCTCCTCCATCAGCTCCTCCATCACCTCCTCCATCACCTCCTCCATCACCTCCTCATCACCTCCTCCATCACCCTCTCCATCACCTCCTCCATCACCTCCTCCGTCACCGTGTGGTTCGCTGGAGCCACAGTCAGGGACAAACAGAGACTACAGTGCATTGTGCGCTCTGCAGAGGAAGTGATCGGCCGCAGCCTTCCATCGCTGCAGGACCTGTACGTCGCCCGAGCTCGAGGCCGGGCTGGTCGTATCACAGCCGACCCCTCTCACCTGCACATGGACTATTCCAACCACTCCCCTCTCACCTGCACATGGACTATTCCAACCACTCCCCTCTCACCCTGCACATGGACTATTCCAACCACTCCCCTCTCACCTGCACATGGACTATTCCAACCACTCCCCTCTCACCTGCATATGGACTATTCCAACCACTCCCCTCTCACCTGCACATGGACTATTCCAACCACTCCCCTCTCACTGCACATGGACTATTCCAACCACTCCCCTCTCACCTGCAGATGGACTATTCCAACCACTCCCCTCTCACCTGCACATGGACTATTCCAACCACTCCCCTCTCACCTGCACATGGACTATTCCAACCACTCCCCTCTCACTGCACATGGACTATTCCAACCACTCCCCTCTCACCTGCAGATGGACTATTCCAACCACTCCCCTCTCACCTGCATATGGACTATTCCAACCACTCCCCTCTCACTGCACATGGACTATTCCAACCACTCCCCTCTCACCTGCATATGGACTATTCCAACCACTCCCCTCTCACCTGCACATGGACTATTCCAACCACTCCCCTCACCCTGCACATGGACTATTCCAACCACTCCCCTCTCACCTGCACATGGACTCTTCCAACCACTCCCCTCTCACCTGCATATGGACTATTCCAACCACTCCCCTCTCACCTGCACATGGACTATTCCAACCACTCCCCTCTCACCTGCAGATGGACTATTCCAACCACTCCCCTCTCACTGCACATGGACTATTCCAACCACTCCCCTCTCACCTGCACATGGACTATTCCAACCACTCCCCTCTCACTGCACATGGACTATTCCAACCACTCCCCTCTCACCTGCACATGGACTATTCCAACCACTCCCCTCTCACCTGCACATGGACTATTCCAACCACTCCCCTCAGGCAGGAGGCTGCGGTCCATCAGGACTAGAACCTCCCGCCACAAGAACAGTTTCTTCCCCTCTGCTGTTGGACTCTTGAACACTTCTTAACCTGTCCCCCCGCCCTTTATAAAGTCACTTTACTGCCCATCATACGTCACTTTACTTCACTGTACTGCTGTCACCTTACACTGTGTGCACCATGTGCACTTGTATATTGTAAATAGTAACTGTAACTCTATTTTAAATTTAAATTTATTCTTTAGAAGTGTTTTTTATTCTTATTTTTATTATCTCTTTTTGACTGTTGCACTGAGCCAAAGCAATTTTCAAGTCTGTGACCTCCTGTTACTTACGTGGCAATAAAAATGATTCTGATTCTGATTCTGATTCTGATTCTGATTACATGTACTCAGTTACTCCAGTGTCACACTTTGGCCTGAGCTCAAAACTTTGATCTTTTGACAGAATCTAAAATGATACAGTAAGTTTTGTTTCGTGAGTGAGGAGCTGTAGTCTCTGTCGGTCATTGTGTGTGAAAGTTAGGTACCCCAGCTTTAACACATGTGACTGGGTGTTGCCTAATCCTTCAATAAATACATACATTCATAAAAACGTCTAAAACCAGGCCGTATGGTTGATGTTTTGTTGAACCCCTGCGTCTATTGGCCACAGAGACACCAAACTTCAGTGGGAGGTGTCTGTGGCGCCCTGGCCCCTGAGCTTCGGGCTCCTGGCTCTCACTGCAGCTGGGGAAAGACACGGAGGCAGAGCGTGTGCGTGTGACCGAGAGGAGGGCACTTCAACACGGGCACCAAAGCAGGACGAGCCGCTGGGAACTCTCACAGGAACCAGAGGAACCATTGGAACCAGTTTGGCCCATTGGAACCATAGGACCCAGACCGCTCCGCTCGCGCTGCTTTGTGTATTTCTACATGTGCCGAACCGTAGATGTCTGTGAGCTTTCTGTGCGTGACTGGACATCCATCCAAACTCGCAAAAAACTGGATTTATTTTACGCACAGATGTAAACAAGACAAAACAACTTGAACGTGCAAAGAGACTGCGTGCGTAAAATGTGCGTGTGTTAAAGTTTATCAAGTGTGACTGACTCTGAAGTTGGACCATGCTGGACTCGTGCGTCAAACCGACACGGGACCGGAAGAGTTAGGGCCAATAATTATCAACTCTCATCCCTCATCGCTCTCCTGAGTTTGTCTGGACCGGAGCCAACACCGCGCAGGAAGAGCAGAGCAGAGAGAGAAAAGCCCGGTCCGTGTCCTCCATCATCATCAGCCTGACATGCGCGGTCTGCTCCCCGGTCTCTCCACCCTCTCCACCGGCAGCACACCCGTGTTTGAGACCGACCCACGCGGCTGAAGTCTCCGATGGTCCCCGGGAAGAGCAGCGCCATGTCCCGCCGAAAGCAAGCCAAGCCTCAGCATCTCCGGTCCGGGGAGGAGGAGGAGGAGGAGGCAGCGGTGGTGGAGGAGGAAGAGGCAGCGGTGGCGGCTGTGGTGGTCCCCGACCCGTTGCTCTGTGCCCGGGGTAAGCTCACACACGCACCGGGTTTTAGGGTTAGGGTTTGGAGACACTTTTTACTTTTATTTGAGGGTGTAGGAGAAGTTTCGGGGGTCGCAGCGGACGTGAAGCTTCACAACAGAACTTTAAATTCACTTTTACGCACAAGGTCTGAGCGCGTAAAAGTTGAGTTTGGAAGCGACTGTTTCGTGTGTCTTCGTTTTTCTACTTTTACCTTAAACCAGTGTGAGCTAAACACTTAAAAACGTGCATTTACTGCCGTAGATAGATATTTATTTAAGTCCTGGATTAAATCTGCTTCAACAGCTTTACTGGACTTTTACTGGAACCAACGCTGCTGACAAAGCTGTGGCACCAGACCAGAAACGGACTCTGTAACAACTTTACTCAGTCCATAAAGTCACTCTGGACTTTTAAAGGCACGGATCAAATATGAAAATCCATAAAAGTATGATTCATATTTTGACCCATTACAGGCCGCGCTCAGCCACACACGCATTCATCAAAAGTAACGGATCAATGTCACGTTTCTGTTCTGAGTCTCATCAAAGATAATTAAAATATAATATAATAATAAAAATGATAATAAATCTTATATTCGTCTTCGTGTTGCTGTATATTTCTGCATCTGAATAATTAAGGCCTGCGCACTTTTACACAGCCCTAGCGCGTGCGCAGAATGTAGTGATTGATATTTGTAACTATTTCCTTTATCATAACGAAACCTGATCCGTCCAATCACATCCTCCGCTTCTATAATCCATTCATCTGATATTATTTTATATTCAAATATTGAGTTAAACAATTACATTTCCCTCTGATTTGATGAGACAGTTCTGGAGTTATTCAATCAGAGGATTATATATCACTGAGTTGTCGCTTAAGTGGGAAAAACCTCCAGGATTTTACCTTGACTTTGAAACTGAATTAAAAAAGATTAAAAAATATAAAAAAGACAATATTTGCGAAAACACAAGATACGCAGTTATTGTGTGTTATCAAAGTTATTTCACACAACAAGTCTTTTCAATAAGTGCAGCCTCAGCTCTTTCACCCGGGCCTTCTTCTTCTTCTTCTTCGTCTTCTTCTTCTTCTTCTTCCTCTTCTTCTTCTTCTTCTTCCTCTTCTTCTTCTTCCTTACATTAACTTAACTTTACATTTTCACAGTTTTACTAAAGTGTGAAATGTGTGTTTGGTGAATGGGGTAGAAAGCGGCGCCCTCCAGGCCCCCCTCCAGGCCCCCCTCCAACGGGACGTCCCGCCGGAGCAGAGGAGGAGGGGGGTCTGATGATTGACTTAACCTTTGTGAGCTGCACACGGCGAGAGGCCGGAGTTGTGTGTGTCCGTCATAACACAATTAGCACCACGTCAACATCTGTTTGGTGTGTATTGGTGTGTCTGGAGATGTGTGTGTGTGCGTGTGTGTGTCTGTCTTTTTGTGTGTGTGTGTTTGCGAGAGGCCAGAGTTGTGTGTCTCCGTCATAACACAATTAGCACCACGTCAACATCTGTTTGGTGTGTGTGTGTGTGTGCGTGTGTGTGTATGTCTGTCTTTTTGTGTGTGTGTGTGTGTGTGTTTGCGAGAGGCCAGAGTTGTGTGTCTCCGTCATAACACAATTAGCACCACGTCAACATCTGTTTGGTGTGTGTGTGTGTGTGTGTGTGCGTGTGTGTGTATGTCTGTGTGTGTGTCTGTGTGTGTGTGTGGGGTCAGAGGACATCGGCGGAAACACACCGGGGCAGTCAACAGCACCACAAACAGCATTTTAATACTACACAACTATAGGCTTTTCAGGCTTGTGTGAAAGAGCAACACAAACACAATCAAAATCAAATACACAACACACTTTGGCCTTTTCTGTGCATTTAAAACATACACATTAATAATCTACAATACTTTATAAATTATGTCAAATATATCAGATTATTGCCCTAAAATCAGAGCGTTTTGAATCCATTTTTGTGTTTCTTTTAATAAGAAATGAAGTTTGTATTTTTAGTATCGGGTCAAAACGACAGAAAAACATGCGCAGCTCGTACTTTTAGACACCATTAAGTAAAATTATAAATATGTGCGTTTTCTAAATACTTTACTTTATTTTACTAAAGAAACATGTGATAATAAATATATGTGTTTGTTTTTCTAAAAGTTTTATATTTGGTTTTGGATCCAAGAGAAAGTCTGATCATAAAACGCTCTGGTCATTCTAAAGTCACAAAATTATATAATTATTTTCTTCAGTTTTTACCAAACCTGAAAAAACAGTGAAAAACAAGAAAATTATGGTGAAAAATCTAACATTTGGATCAATTTTGTTGAAAAGAAACGGCTCGTTTGGACTCAAAATGGTTCCAGGTCCGAACCATTTTGAGTCCAAACGAGCCGCTTCTTTTCAACTTGTTTTGAGAAAGCGAAAGTAAAAATAAGCAGCTTTACGTTTCGACAAGACACGGTTTTGCAAAAATAACCTTCAGTGAAATTAGTAATGGTTCTGCTCCGTCTCCAGCCGCACAAACGTTGCTCAGCTTCATCTTCACGTTTCCGAGATGGAGAAGAAGTCGCTGAATCAAAAATGGTTTCTTTGTTTTTGCTGGAAGTGAATGTTGTGAAGTTTAGACAAAGCCGAGTGTGTTTTGGCTCCGGGCGTTTTCAGACCACCCACAAAGCCTTAAAACAGTTACCCCTCTCTGGCTCTGAGCACTTTTTAGACTCACACAAATGTCAGAAACAGAGTGAGAAAGTAGAGTTGGTTCCTGGTGTTTGGGGCTTGATGGTGCGAGCCGTCTGGACCATGTGACGCAGAGTGATGTATGTGCTTGTAAAAGAGGCACAGAAGTTGCTATGGTTAAGTCTGCCTTTGTCTGCTGTGTGCGAGAGCTCGGAAAACTGGGAAAACTGGGAAAACTGGGAGTTCTTTGGTGGATCTTGGCGATAATTAAAGTTTATAACGGAGTAAAAACCACAGAATCAGAGAAAAGGAAAGGGTCGAGAAAAAGACATGATGTAGTGTGTGTAGTTTAGTGTGTTTTGTTTGTGTGTGTGTGTGTGGTGTGTGTGTGTGTGGTGTGTGTGTGTCTGCGTCTGTGTATGTGTGGTGTGTGTGTCTGCGTCTGTGTATGTGTGGTGTGTGTGTCTGCGTCTGTGTATGTGTGGTGTGTGTGTGTGTGTCTGCGTCTGTGTATGTGTGGTGTGTGTGTGTGTGTCTGCGTCTGTGTATGTGTGGTGTGTGTGTGTGTCTGCGTCTGTGTATGTGTGTGTGTGTGTGTGCGTCACTGTGACCTGAATATAGATTAAAAGCAAATTATTTGTGGTGTGTGTGTGTGTGTGGCGTATGTATATGTGTGTCAGTGTGGTGTGTTTGTGTGGTGTGTGTTTGTGGTGTGTGTGTCTGTGTGGTGTGTGTGTGTGTTGATAATTCTCTAAAATGCAGCCGTTTACAGTTCACTTTTCTGCTGTTTTTAGGTAAAAGACGTCATAATAAATGTTTTTCTAAATCTTAGTATTTCTCTCGATCGCTGTGATTTAGTGAGTTTTAATCTTAATCTTAATCTTAATCTAGCCACGAGGACAAAGTCATCGTCTCGTCTTCTGGTCTGAACAGAGGGAATTTATTCTGTAAAAAATGATAAAATATGAGTTCATAAAATCTTGAATCAAGTTGATTTTGGTCTTAATCTGAGTTAATTCTGTTCAAGACACATTTGAGCGATTCTCGACCTTTTCTCACCTCTTGCTGTGACCCCGGTGAACTCCAGTTTCAGGCCTGTATCTGTGTGTTTTACTTTTCAGCCGTTTTGAATAAAGCTGTGAACAAAAGTCTGTTCCTAAAGCCTCAGAAACAGTGAAAATCATGAAAATACTGAAAATTAGTAAAAGTGAGAGCGTGGTTCAGTCCATCTGCTCCTGCTCTGATTCTAATGGACCAGAGACACAGCAGATGCACTGGGTCGGGTTTGGAGGAGCAGAGAGAGGGGTGAGAGGGGGAGGAGGGGGGGAGAGGGAGGGAGGAGGGGGAGAGAGAGGAAGGAGAGGGGGGGGGGGGGGGGAGAGAGGAAGGAGAGAGAGGGGGGGGGGGGGGGGGGGGGGGGAGGGTGAGAGGGGGAGGGAGAGAGGAAGGAGAGAGGGGGGGAGAGAGAGAGGGTGAGAGGGAGGGAGGAGGGGGAGGGAGGGAGAGAGAGAGGGGGGAGAGAGGGAGAGCGAGAGAGACAGAGCGAGAGAGGGGGGAGAGGGAGGGGGAGAGGGAGGGAGAGAGAGAGAGACAGAGAGTGAAACTGTGATGGATCCAGACTCGGTCCTGATCAACGTTAGACCCAGTTCTGGGTCATCGTGTGACCCACTTTTTATTGCTTTTGTTCAATTGTTTGTTTGAGGTTTTGGAAGAGATTCTTACACTTGTCTGTTTTGGAAGAAAATATGTTTCGTCTTTTTGCTTCAGTTTCATTCAGTGTGTTTTTGTTCAGACCCGAAACCTCAGCAGGACTTCACACAGATGTATTTACAGAGATCAGAGAATCCACCAGTGACAACCAAGACATGGAGTAATGATCATTAATGATCATAACCATTGTTGGGTCTTTCTCCTGCATTAGGCCGAAGGACTGAGAACTCTAAACCAACGCTGACAAACATTTGAGCTGTGGATTTTAAACTTTAAAGAAAAATGCTGCTCTGTTTCTTTGAAGAAACTCTAAATAATTATGAACAAATATTCTTTATATTAATTCTAATTTAAGTTTTTTGTACTTTCTGTTTTCATTTTCATAAAACTAAATTAACCGTTTAATTGGTCGGTTAAAGTACTTTATTCCACATTGGTCTCCTGTATAAAATAAAAACCTAATGTGAAGGTTATAAGTGGTAGTCCGGTCCTCAGGTCTCTGCACTGGCTTCCTGTGGCTCAGAGAATAGATTTTAAAGTAGCTTTACTTGTGTACAAGTCTCTCCATGGCCTCGCACCAGGGTACATCCGCGACATGTTGGTGCCATATGAACCAACTCGGGCTCTGAGGAGCACAGGGACTGGACTTCTGTTAGTGCCAAGAGTCGGAACTAGACATGGGGAGGCTGCGTTTCAGATTCATGCAGCTAGAGTCTGGAACCGTCTTCCCGAGAGTGTGAGACAGGCGTCTACTCTAGCAGTTTTTAAAACTGAACTGAAAACAGTTCTTTTTAGCTGTGCATACAAGTGAATGATTTTACATTTGTTTTTATCTTTAATCTTTTTAATGCGCTATGATTATTTATGATTATTTATGATTGTAATCCCTTGTGTGATTTTAATTTTTTACGGTTTTTAACTACTTGTGTAATTTTATATATCTTGTGCTCTTAATCTGTCTTTTTATGTTTACTTAAATTCTAATGTTTGATGATTTATGCATGATGTTATATGGGTTGTGAGGCGCTTTGCGTTGCCTTGTGTAGGAAAGGCGCTCTATAAATAAACGTTGATTGATTGATTGATTGATTGAGTTAAGCAATAATTTGGCTTGTAAAATAATATTGTGTTTTATCAAATTTCCATAAATAATCCAAACCTTTTTGTTACAGTTGATAATTATAGTTATGTAGAAACTGGTAAAAGTTACAGTTATTTGGGCAATTACCCGGGTCTTTTACTGCTGCACTTCTTGTTAGTGATTGTTTCTATATGTCCTAAAGTTCTTCTGTCCTTTGTAGATGCGGCTGAAGACCCGTGTGAGTCCTGTGCAGCGGACCCTAACACCGAAGACCCGCACATCTGTCTGAAAGGCTGCGGCGAGTTTTTCACATGGACTGAACTCAGCGAGCACCAGAAAGTCTGCACCGCGGACGATTCCTTAGTGATGATCGTGAAAGACAGAGAGGACTCCCGACCCGGACCCTCTCCTGCTCCCAGCATCCTGTCCAGCGGCTCCCCACTGGGATCTCCGGAATACGAGGCGGGAGACGGGAACGGCAACGACAGCTCTGATAATCTAGAAGAAGCTCGAGACCAGTACGAAAGCATGGAGCTAGACGCACTGCAGGATAAATTCACACAGGATAACTACACAACCAGCCCCAGCCCTCAAACCTCCGAGTCTGATTTACCGCTGAAGTCAATCGCGACTGGTTACAGTTTGCCGAACACTAACGTAACCCTTGAAATACTTCACAGCACCCGTGTAGCCGTAGCCCAGTTTTCCCAAAGTTTAAACGGTACGGGAGGCAAAGGGGCTCCTGCTGCTGCTATCCCGGTCATTCTCGAGCACTTGTTGAACCTGCAACAGCAACAAGTTCATCAACTCCAACTGATCGAGCAAATCTGCAGCCAGGTAGCCTTCATGAACTGCCAGCCTTCACAAGCAGCGCTCAACCCCGTCTCCAGGGCTCATCCTCTCGGTCCAAACACATTTCCCGTCCCTCCAAGTGCAATCCCGTCCTCCATCTTGCCTCTATCAGGGACGATACCTTCCACCATCAACGGACAAGCCGCGGTTACTTTGCCGTCAAGGCTCGAAAAAGTGCAAAATACACAAACTTTTTCTCGTGATTCTTCAGAAACCTCTTCCAGCTCAAGCGGCACCAGTGCGTCAACATTTCTTCCGTCTTACAACGCTGTGAATAGCATTAGCAACACCCCAACACTAAGCTCCTCCAATTCATTCTCCCTTGGGCCAAACAGCCTACTTGGCCATGCTTCAACTCTTCCATTTCTTCCTCAGAGCCCAACCAGCAACAGCGTCATCTTCCCCAACCCTTTAGCTAGCATCGCAGCTACAACTAACGCCCTTGACCCGCTAGCCGCACTAATGAAGCAGCGGAAAGGAAAAGCGCCCAACGTGTCTTTATTCGAAACTAAACCGAACCCAGAGGAGCCCTTCTTCAAGCACAAGTGCCGTTTCTGTGCCAAAGTGTTCGGTAGCGACAGCGCTCTCCAAATCCACCTGCGCTCTCACACCGGGGAACGGCCCTTCAAATGCAACATCTGTGGAAACCGCTTCTCCACGAAAGGCAACCTGAAAGTACACTTCCAACGCCACAAAGACAAATACCCCCACGTCCAAATGAACCCGTATCCTGTTCCGGAGTACCTTGACAACATGCCAACCAGCTCGGGAATTCCCTACGGCATGGCGTTCCCCCCGGAAAAGCCTGTCTCTTCGTGGATGGAGAGTAAACCTGTTGTAGCAGCTCTGCCAGCGAGTTTAGGTCTTCCGATGGCGTCCACAGTCTCTGGTCTGGGCAGCTCGAATGACCCTGTAAGTGTAACAGCATCTCTGAAATCTCCGGCTGCAGGTGAATGTTTTTCTTTGTCACCTAACCACACAGGCAATGAGGCCCGTTTGTCTCCTGTTTCAGAGCCTAGCCGGGAGACCGAAGCACTCAGTTTATTAAAGGCCGATGGACCTCAGCCAATGCAAAACTTTACCTCAAAACCCAACCTCGAATCTAGTGCGACCTCTACTCCGGAAACCAGCACCTCACCGGTCCCCGCTTCTCCACTCAACCACGGCGAAGACACACAACTCTTCACCATGCTGGAGTCCGTGCAGCCGTCCGAGACCTCGAAACTGCAGAAGCTGGTGGAAAACATTGACAAACAAATCACAGACCCCAATCAGTGTGTGCTCTGCCATCGAGTCCTCAGTTGCCAAAGCGCCTTGAAGATGCATTACAGAATCCACACCGGGGAGAGGCCCTACAAGTGTAAAGTTTGCGGCCGTGCATTCACAACCAAAGGCAATCTGAAGACTCATATTGGCGTCCATCGAGAAAACCCACCGGTACAAGTGCAGCATTCTTGCCCAATTTGTCAAAAGAAGTTTACAAATGCCGTGGTCCTTCAACAACACATAAGAATGCACATGGTCGGGCAGATTTCTGACTCAACTAACATGGAAAGTCCCCAGGAAATGGACACAGAAGTCTCTTTGAGTGATAAGAACTTTGATAGTCTAAGCAGCAACAGCAATGACATCACAGACGACATTTCAATGGACGAGGAGGAGGAAGAGAATGCGGAAGAAAGCTTTTGCAATTCACCTAAACCATATTTATCAAGTCTGGCTGCTTTGGAGAATCAAATGAAGAGTATAGACAATGCATATAAATCGTTAACAAATGGGTTTCATGAAATCGGGAAAAGCAGTGAGAAAAGTCCGAAAAGAGTAGACCAGGGGAACTCAGACGGAACAAGGATAAGATCTCCGGTTCTGGGCCAGAGTGGGACTGGATCTCGAGAGGATTTGGCTCCATCGCTCAGGGCAGAACTGTCTCAGAGTTTGACCAACTCTCCAGAGACGGAAACAGAGCAAAAGGAAACTCAATCCACCAAACTGAGCGTGAAAGAGGAGACGCCGTACTGCATGTCCTTCCACTTCAGTCCAGGTAATTGTCCGCTTCCGTAGATGCTACAGCAGAGAACAACCCTTTACAATTCATTAAACATAATGGGAGGAAGAAACAGGCAAGGATTCTGAACTTCAACTAATTACCTTTGGATGAGACTTTGTGAGGTCCTGGCAAGAGACGTGTTTAACAGCATGTATTGAATATTGGGTTGTATACATTGCTTTAGGCCAGTGCTCATAATGTTAGATGTTGCCAAAGTTAAAAAAAGAAAATAAATTCCAGTAATAAATAAACACAAATGAATATAACGGAATATTTAAAAAAAATAAAAAATCTCTGGCAACAACTAACATTTTGAGAACTGGTCAGTCACAATATATCCAATCCAATACCCAATACGTGTAAGGAATGATTATATATTTAAACGTTTTAGATTGACTATTAAACAAATATCCCCATTCTTTACCTTTTTGTCTGGTTGATAGGGAAAAATTCATCACAATAATAATAATAATAATGTATGTCTTTGTCTCCGTTAGCGGTTGGACGGAGCACGCCCAGCCTCGTCTCCACCTCGACACCACTGGCTCTTGTAAAACCGGAGCTGAACGGACCCTCAACCATCTCCGGTGAGCTCCATCCTCCTGCCTCTCCCTTCAGTGTCCACGTGCCCCCGGCCTACCCCTCCTCGGGCAGCCCAGGACCCCTCTCCCTCCTGGGGCCAGCTCCTCCACGCCGCACCCCCAAACAGCACAACTGTAACGTCTGTGGAAAGAACTTCTCTTCGGCCAGCGCCCTGCAGATCCACGAGAGGACGCACACCGGAGAGAAGCCGTTTGTCTGCTCGGTCTGTGGCAGAGCCTTCACCACCAAAGGGAACCTCAAGGTATACTCACTCTGCAGAAACTCTTACTGAGGCCCTTACTGGTTAATTATATATTTGAATTATAAAACATTCTGAATTCTTCAAATCAGTAAAATGTGTGTTAAACACTGTATGAGACATGGAACAATCCATTACTGAGACAGACCTGTCACATTTATCCACAGTATGTGCTTATTTTTACAGTATCATACTTATGTAAGTAATCTTTATTTATATACCACCTTTTCACTGCAGATCTGAGTCTCAAAGCGGTTTACAATTGTTAATTTTGGGCATTTGTCTCTCACTCCACACAGAGATGGGAGCGGGGTCGCCAGTACAGGAGGCGCATGCTAGAACTATTAGACATATTTTTAGTGGTAGGGGAAACCAGAGTACCCGGAGGAAACCTACGCAGACACAGGGAGAACATGCAAACTCCACTCAGAAAGGCCCTGGTCCGACCGGGATTCGAACCCAGGACTTTCTTGCTGAGAGGCGAGAGTGCTATCCACTCAGCCACCGTGCCGCCCAATGTTATTCTTATTTCAATGATGGTCACTTTATTGATCACTGGTCGTTCCGATGTTTGATTTTTCCTGTTTATCTTGATTTAATCAACATTTTGTTGTCAAAACCACTGCTGTTGTTATTATGACAACCTCTTGGAGTCTTTAACTCTTGTGTTGTGTTTCTTCAGGTGCACATGGGCACTCACATGTGGAACAACGCTCCAGCCCGTAGGGGGCGCCGGCTCTCGGTGGAGAACCCTCTGGCGCTGCTTGGAGGAGACTCACTGAAGTTTGGAGACATGTTTCAGAAGGACCTGGGCTCTCGACCCGTGGACCCGGGCTTTTGGAGCCGATACGCCTCAGCCATCAGCAGCAGCCTGGGCCTGAAGAACAACGAGATCTCAGTGATACAGAACCGCAGCCTTCCTCAGATCCACCCTCTGTCTATGGAGCGCAGCAGCGCCCCCATCAGTCTGTCCAAGAGCATGGAGCTGGGCAACAACCGGCATTTCTCTATGATGATCGATGACAGCAAAGAGATCGGAATCAACTGAAAACTTATGCAATTATATGGACCCTAATGTATTTGTACAAACATCTGTGTGTATAATCTATAGACTTTATAAATGACTTTTTATTGAAATCCACACACTCACAGCCCTTTGGACCAATGTGAAAATAACCTCACAGAGAAAGTATTGTTGAAAACAACAGAAGACTGAAAACTGGAGTCAATAATGCAAAGACTCTTTGACAGCGGCCTCATGAGTCTGAGTCCTGAGGTGTGTCACTGTAAAGGTGGAAATGCTCATAAAGAACATTTAGACTGAATAAAAAGAATAGAGAAGTGAAAACTTGTGGTGTCTCTTGTTTCTTTGTGACAGTAACTTTTCTTCAGTCATTTTCAAGAATTAACCTGTGTTTATAATACTACGGTTTAGTGCCGTTAACCACTACAGCAACGGTCTTCATGTTTCATCACAGCTTAAGCCACAGGTTTATCTGTGGCTTAAGCTAAAGGTTAAGCCACAGATAAACCTTTAGCTTCATTATTTGTAGATTCTATTTTTCCTGTATATTTTTGTGATGATTTTCCTGTGTTTGTATGACTCCCATACGATAACTGACCGACTACAATGGAGTCCTGTCCTGGTTATTTAATAGAATATAGATTTGATGAAGACAAAATATCTAATAATTTATGTCCCAAGTTGTTACAAATGCATAAATGGACGATTTAGTCCATTTACTGCAAATGGCAAATAAATGAATCTGAATCTGAATCTTAGGCAATTGGCTCGTTAAAACAAATGAAGGTCCCGAGTTCAATCCCCAGGCCAAATGGAATCATAGGTTTAGTCTGTGTTCTGAAGAATATCCTACTTAGTTCCTTTCCTTACATGTTAGAATCAACACCAAGCATAACATGTAATCTTATTCTGTCAGTGGTAACTCTGGATTATTCTAAATAAATGTATAATTTACCTAATTATAATAATGCATGTTTTTATTTAAGGCTTTTTGGACAAATGCTTCATATGTTTTAATTCTTTCTCTCCACACAGCGGTGATAAACTCCTCTTGAGACACACTGACAGAAGCGAGGCGACCAGTCTGTGCCATCGGCCCCTCCCACCACCAACCATTCACACACGCACACGCACACGCACACGCACACGCACACACACACACGTTCTAATGTGGGGGAAGTGTCTTGCCTAAGGACGAATTTACAGCCGCCTCACTGTGGCACCTGGTGTTCCCAGAGGTCTCCCATCACAGTACTAACCAGACCCTGCTTAGCTTCAGAGGCCTAATAGGATCTGGATTTCACCTGCAGGTGGCGCCCCAACAAGTCAACAAAAGAATGATGATGTAATGTTCATGGTAAAGAGGATAAAGGCACAGTTATTAATTATATTATTATATAATCACATTAGACCATGTGTGAGGTGACCATCGCAGGACCATATTCAGGACAAAGTACAAAAGATTTGGCTTGTTTACAACTACAGTATAAAATTCTGCTGTGAGGCTTTTGACCCGCACTCATAGGAGGGACCACATTACTCCTGTCCTGAAGTCCTTACACTGGCTCCTGTTGCACAGAGAATACATTTTTTTCTGGTGTTGACTTTCAGGCTCTTCATGGTCAGGCGTCTGAAGGGGCTGATCCACCCCTATGTCTCCAACAGGAGTCTGAGGTCCTCCACTCAGAACCTGTTGATGGTCCTCCACTCAGAACCTGTTGATGGTCCTCCTCCAGAACCTGTTGATGGTCCTCCACCAGAACCTGTTGATGGTCCTCCACCAGAACCTGTTGATGGTCCTACACTCAGAACCTGTTGATGGTCCTCCACTCAGAACCTGTTGATGGTCCTCCACTCAGAACCTGTTGATGGTCCTCCACTCAGAACCTGTTGATGGTCCTACACTCAGAACCTGTTGATGGTCCTACACTCAGAACCTGTTGATGGTCCTACACTCAGAACCTGTTGATGGTCCTCCACCAGAACCTGTTGATGGTCCTACACTCAGAACCTGTTGATGGTCCTACACTCAGAACCTGTTGATGGTCCTCCGCTCAGAACCTGTTGATGGTCCTCCACTCAGAACCAGTTGATGGTCCTCCACTCAGAACCAGTTGATGGTCCTCCACTCAGAACCTGTCGATGGTCCGCACATGTTAGAGCCAGTGGACAACTGGACAAGTCGCAACTTCAGACCTATTTGTTTCTGCAGCTTTCTCGCGTCACTGCACATACAGGCCTTTATCTGAAGAGTTTTCATTATTCTGTTCATTCTGGACGTTTAGGCCTTTATTCTGTGTACTTATAGTATAATGTATATTGATTTCACAGTGTCAATTGTTTACTGTTTTGTTTGTTTTATTCTGTACATTTAATCAGTTTTTTTATGTACTTATGTCTTGTGCACACTGGGGACTTTTGCAAATGTATTCCAATGTGGTTTTTACTGTAATAGGCACACACAAAAAAAGAATCTGATCTACTTGGAATGGACTTGTATGTTTACTATTCTTACTGTTATGTTTTTATTGTGAAGCGCTTTGAGATCCTGTGAAAGGCTCTATATAAATAAACTATACTTACTCACATATCATGAGCCTGGATGAATGGACCTCTCTCCCCCACTTTGATGTCATAGATATTTATCTTATTTTACACATATATAATCATTCACTTCAGTGGAAGGCTGACGCTTACGTCCTCCCGTGACGTCAGCACGCGCAGTGCCCAGCCAAGATGGCTGACAGCATCCCGTTAAATCCGGTGAGAAAGAACTCGAGGAGAATTCCGTATTACAACTCCGCCAGACTTTCCAGGTACGGAGAGGCACCGAGCGGCCCTGTGTGTGTTAGAACATATAGTATCGGATAATAACGAAGCCCCTGGCCGTGCTCCGAGCCGCTGTGTGGGGGTTAGCTGTTAGCATGTGTGTTGCTAGCTCCATCTCATCCTCATCTGACTGGTCCATTCTGGAAACATGTCCTGCTCAGGTCATCCACACCAGTCCACAGCACAGTCCCCAGTCCGCGGAGGGAGCTAAAGCCAAGAAGACTCTTACACTCAGCTAATGACAGCCCTCTTTGACAAGTCACGTGACCAGCCGCAGCTCACGTGACTCTGCTGTCAATATCCGCGGACTGATCTCTAAATAGACCTTTGCTCTTGAACTGACGTGTACACTGCTCCAGGTATGTTCAACGGATCAATTCTGGATTCATCTGTGAATGGTCTTAGATCGATCCGTTTAGAAATCACCTCATTATATGTCACTGGAATGCTGACTTTTTATCTGCTGATTCAGACCTGCTTCAGTGCGAGTTTAGTCCTGGTTTAGTCCTGGTTTAGTCCTGGTTTAGTCCTGGTTTAGTCCTGGTTTAGTCCTGGTTTAGTCCTGGTTTAGTCCTGGTTTATACCTGGTTACTCCTGATTCAGTCTTGGTTTAGTGCTGGTCTAGACCAGGTTTAGTCCTTGTTTAGTTCTGCGTTTGTCCCTGGTCTGACTCCTGTTTTGGTGTCATGTTTCAGTACAGTAGTTGAGTGATGATGGAAATATTAGTGTAATGGCCGCCATATTGCATTGTTGTTATGGTTCTTTTAATCACATAATTATAGATTACTTTCTTAAAGAAACACTTTGTACACATCCAGACCTTAGTTTGAGTCCTTTTTGTTCGTCCTACGTCTTGAGAGAAACTGTCACAGACTTGGTGCTTTCTGACACTTTCATTTTAGACTGAGTCATGAGCAGAAGAAACAGGAAGTTCCAGTAGTTTCCCGTTGGCAGATTTAAAACGTTTTCAAAATGGTCAAAAGGTTAGTGTTTATTTATATATTTTACTTTATCGGTTTAAACTTTGATCACTAAAAACTAGAAATATAATATAATGGAGAAGCCGATAGTTCTTTGCTGAAGCGGTGTCTTTTTGAGCAATGCTGTGTTTGAATGTTCTCCCTGTGATCGTGGGAATTGTTTACACATATATCGTCTTGTTGGAGTTACTTCTTTTTGAGATTGTGTTTAGTAAAAAGCACAATACCTTTTTCAGAACTGGTTTAGCCCTAGCTAATGTCCTGGCTGAGTGGTTAGCACTCTCTCTTCTCAGCAAGACGGTCCTGGGTCTTTCTGTTTGGAGTTTGCATGTTCTCCCTGTGTCTGCGTAGGTTTCCTCCGTGTGCTCCGGTTTCCCCTAGCATTAAAAACATGTACAATAGGTCTGGCAGCGCCCCCTGTAGGCGACCTGCTCCATCTCTGTGTGGACTGAGAAACTAGTCTGGGAAAGGCTCTATATAAATAAACAATACTCACTTAGATGAGCCTCATTCTGAAGTTGTCAAATATTTTATTCTCAGATGTTTTGATAATCTCTTCTTCATGAAACATCTTTATCATAAACAATACATTTATTTGATATTTAGAATTTTTAAACTTCCATTTTCCAAAACGATGTATTTGTGTTAATATAATTATTGTTAAAGTCTGAGTTTGTTGCGGTGGAGCTGCTCTTTCAGCGAACACAGAGTTGGATGATCTTAATCCCACTTAATCCAAGCAACGCTCGTGTCTGTTTGAAAGATCAGTGGAACCGCATTTCTTTATTTCACATGTTTCATGTAAAGACTTAGAAACATTTATTTATACCCAGTTTATGTTCATTCACCTGTTTTTACCCTAACCCTTACAGTAGCACAGGTTTATCGCACCTCATTGTAAACCTCTAGAGCTCAGCCTTTGACTTTGTTTTTATTTAGTGGCATTTTGTGTGTTACAAAATCAGTCTGTCGCTAATGTAGCTGTAGCTGGTGAGATGTAAACAATAGTCATTCAGCCAACTCCAGCTCTGTTGTAGCTCATTCCAAAGCTGAGAACAGCCGGGTTGTCGACCCCTGGACACGTCTGCTGAACCAAAGAGGCCCTCATACTATAATGTTTGGACACCCCTGACTTCATCTTAATCTGTTTGGTTCTATCACTTCTATCGATCCAATGTATTAGTGAATATAAGAGGACCAGGCCTCATTCAGCCTTTAGTATGTAACAAATCACATGTTTTATAATTGACTAAAACGATACTGAAAATATAATCCTGGACCAAAAAGCTCAGTACTCTATCTTTTTAAATGCTTTGATATGATTCTGCTCTTCACCAGGGCATCTGACAGTTATTAAAAGGGTTGAGATGGTGGTTTAGCTGCAGCCGCGGTGCCTGACCGAGAGCAGCCTGATGAATAAGACATGAAGCCTCTCAATGCATTTGTGCTATTTGTGTAGGACGTGAAAAGGAGAGGCTCTGAGAGGCGTCTGAAGCCTTTGGATCTCTGCTACTATACTTTCTCTATGGATCAGTATTTTACAGCATTAACAAGACTCTCCACTGGTGTTCCAACAGGAGATGAAATGATACAACTCATAATGGGTTCAAATGCAAATTAAATCATAACCACCAACACACAATAAATGATATCCCTGTAAATATTATTATAGTTGCCTTTCTGTGTGGTCTATGATTAAAGCTGGGGTACCGAACTTTCAAGCCACAAAACATTGAACTATGTAATTAGAGTAAAATAGTTTCTTGCTCTCAATCAATCAATGTTCTAATTAGTCATGTCATTGTCTGCGCCTTTATCAGTCCATTTCTGGGTCGGGGCGTGTCCCTCTGTCCCTCTGATCCTCTGCAGGGGGTGGGTCCACGGGAAGATGGCTGCTCTGTCATCAACGAGATGGCCTTGGTGTTTCAGCGGGGGCTTCAGGCAATGTGGGGTTAAGTGTCTTGCCCAGGGACACAACGACAGCAGACATCAGTGGGAACAACAGGGCCTTTCTGAGTGGAGTTTGCATGTTCTCCCCGTGTCTGCATAGGCTTCCTCTGAGTTTCCACCACTGAAAACAAATATATGGGTAAAATCCTAAGATAAGACTTTATTGATCTCACTGGTCCTGACTGAGCCTGGTCTTACCATACCATTGATCTCACTGGTCCTGACCGAGCCTGGTCTTACCATACCATTGATCTCACTGGTCCTGACCGAGCCTGGTCTTACCATACCATTGATCTCACTGGTCCTGACCGAGCCTGGTCTTACCATACCATTGATCTCTCACTGGTCCTGACTGAGCCTGGTCTTACCATACCATTGTACAAATACCATGGAGGGAAATGATTATTCATAATAATGGTAACACATCAAACTTGTATAGCACTTTTTTGTGTACTCGAAGACGCTTCACATGTGCAATAAAATACAATAAAAAGATAAAAAGGGGGTTTACGGGAAAGCTTGTTTGAAAAGATGGGTTTAGAGACTGATTTTAAAGTTTGGGAGTGACGTACGGCAACTGCTCTGTCCCCCAAGGTCCAGAGTTTACAGATGGCTAAGTCCAGGCTAGTCCGGACCTGGACTTCTATCATTGCAGGATGGGTCACATGCAAAGGACACATTTGAGTACAAGGACCAGAATAACAAAGTTTCCAGCCTTTGATGCAGTATCTCACTCAGAGCTGATCCAGAAGTGGCTTTAGGGAAGTTCTTACCACATTCTCTTCAGTCTAACCTTCAGTGAACAGTTCCACATTCTCTTCAGTCTAACCTTCAGTGAAAAGTTCCTCCTCTTACGCCCTGAAAGGATCCCATGAACTGATACAACTGTGTGTGCAGGTTCTCCTTTGAAGATGACCCGTCCAACCTGGATGAGATGCCTCTGATGATGTCTGAGGAGGGGTTTGAAAACGATGAGAGCGATTACCAGACTCTGCCGCGGGCCCGGGCCAACCAGCGGCGCCGGGGCCTGGCCTGGTTCCTGTTTGGGGGCTGGAAGGTCCTCTGTGGCAGGTACTATTCCCTTCATCATTCTCAGACTCTTTATACTTGTTCTGAATACTTGGAATATTTAAGGCATGGTTTGTAATGTACGTGTAAAGTAAAAGTATTCTGGAACTCCCTGACAACAAATTGTTGATAGAAATACATTGACATTTATACTTTATACAATTTTTAAGACAATTGTTATACTTTCTTTTATACTTTATGTTCAAGACAGAGACTTTGTACTTTGCCTATGATGCTAGAGTTAGAGATGTTTTATTTGGATTAGTATAGAGCTATTGTTCTTGTATCTGTGCTGTGTGCTCCTCTTTCCTACTGTTCTATCACTTGTGATGCAACACTGGAATTTCCCCACTGTGGGACCAGTAACGGGTCTCTTCATCTTAATCTTAAATTGTAAATCTACCCACACATTATGGCAAACGCTGTAAGTGCAGTAGGAAACGTAAAAATGTACAAAATTATCTCCATAAAATAATGTAAATAATATAAATACTAATGAAAGCACGATGATCGAACAATCATCGCTGCCAAGGAAACAAAAAATGGTGGTTTACAAATATTATCCACTGAAACCAGAAAGAGTGAGTCGGCTGAGAAAGCGAGAGTGGTCCTTGCAGGCGGGCAATTGGACCCAAGTCTCATTGCACCAGTCCCTCGCTGACCTTGTGCAGGTGGGGGGTCCACAGGAAGATGGCTTCTCCGTGATCGAAGACATAACCTTGATCTTTCAGCGGGGGCTTCAGGCAATGTGGGGTTAAGTGTGTTGCCCAGGGACACATCGACAGCAGACATCAGTGGGAGCAGATGTCATGGGTCATGGTGGACTCGATCCCACAACCATTAGGTCCAAAGATAAGTGCAAAAATAAAATTGATCATTCTAAAAAGCTAATCCTAGTATTAATCAGCCACAGGCCTTCAGGTCACAGCAGCAGAGGTGGAGTAGTCTCTGGGTGGAGCAGGACGGGTCACAGCAGCAGAGGTGGAGAAGTTCTCTGGGTGGAGCAGGACAGGTCACAGCAGCAGAGGTGGAGTAGTCTCTGGGTGGAGCAGGTCACAGCAGCAGAGGTGGAGTAGCCTCTGGGTGGAGCAGGACGGGTCACAGCAGCAGAGGTGGAGTAGTCTCTGGGTGGAGCAGGACGGGTCACAGCAGCAGAGGTGGAGAAGTCTCTGGGTGGAGCAGGACAGGTCACAGCAGCAGGTGGAGAAGTCTCTGGGTGGAGCAGGACGGGTCACAGCAGCAGGTGGAGAAGTCTCTGGGTGGAGCAGGACAGGTCACAGCAGCAGAGGTGGAGAAGTCTCTGGGTGGAGCAGGACGGTCACAGCAGCAGAGGTGGAAGTCTCTGGGTGGAGCAGGACGGGTCACAGCAGCAGAGGTGGAGAAGTCTCTGGGTGGAGCAGGACGGGTCACAGCAGCAGAGTGGAGAAGTCTCTGGGTGGAGCAGGACAGGTCACAGCAGCAGGTGGAGAAGTCTCTGGGTGGAGCAGGACAGGTCACAGCAGCAGAGGTGAGAAGTCTCTGGGTGGAGCAGGACAGGTCACAGCAGCAGAGGTGGAGAAGTCTCTGGGTGGAGCAGGACGGTCACAGCAGCAGAGGTGGAGAAGTCTCTGGGTGGAGCAGGACGGGTCACAGCAGCAGGGTGGAGAAGTCTCTGGGTGGAGCAGGACAGTCACAGCAGCAGAGTGGAGAAGTCTCTGGGTGGAGCAGGACAGGTCACAGCAGCAGAGGTGGAGAAGTCTCTGGGTGGAGCAGGACGGGTCACAGCAGCAGAGGTGGAGAAGTCTCTGGGTGGAGCAGGACGGTCACAGCAGAGAGGTGGAGAAGTCTCTGGGTGGAGCAGGACAGGTCACAGCAGCAGAGGTGGAGAAGTCTCTGGGTGGAGCAGGACAGGTCACAGCAGCAGAGGTGGAGAAGTCTCTGGGTGGAGCAGGACGGGTCACAGCAGCAGAGGTGGAGAAGTCTCTGGGTGGAGCAGGTCACAGCAGCAGGTGGAGCTTGGTTCAGACCATTTTCTCTGCTCTGGTCCAAAGTAAAATGCTAAATGCTTATTTGTATTGTATTTGTATTGTTCTTAAAGTTAAATTGTAAAAAGTTAAATTGTAAAACCATGAATCCTCTCTGCTCTGGTCTGGACCAGTGTAAAACCATGAATCCTCTCTGCTCTGGTCTGGACCAGTGTAAAACCATGAATCCTCTCTGCTCTGGTCTGGACCAGTGTAAAACCATGAATCCTCTCTGCTCTGGTCTGGACCAGTGTAAAACCATGAATCCTCTCTGCTCTGGTCTGGACCAGTGTAAAACCATGAATCCTCTCTGCTCTGGTCTGGACTATCTCAGGACTCGCTGCTGTTTCCAGAACATTCTAAACTAAAATAATGTCCAGTTTTTCCTTTTGTGGCTCATTTCAGACAGAAGCACAATCTTCCACCCACTAAAGCCCAACAGGGATGTGCTCATGGACAGAGTTTTGCTCCTTCTTCTCCGGCTTCTTTTAACTCACCGTGGATTGGAAAGTTTGGTTCAGAAACCGTTTGTGTCGCACTCCCATTTTGAGAATCAACAATCCATGGTTTAGCACTTTCTGCATTCCTGGTGTTTACATCTTTATTTTGTTGTTGTAAATCCAGATATGAACTTTAACAATTGACCAATCTGATGCTTTCTGAGCCCAAACTCAGCTTTAGCTCACTGTGAGAACCTTTACTGTTACAGACACAACAATAAACTACACAACAAAACTAGAAAATCATGGATTTCACTAGTGTTTACCTGCAGGTGAATCCAGATCCTGTCAGACCTCTGAAGCTAAGCAGGGCAGGGCCTGGTTAGTGCTGTGATGGGAGACCTCTGGGAACAGCAGGTGCCACAGTGGGGCGGCTGTGGCTGTAAAGTGCCAAACTGTGGTTGTGAATGAGTCTGGTGTGTGTGAATGGTTGGTAGTGGGAGGGGCCGATGGCACAGACTGGTTGCCTCGCTTCTGTCGGTGTGCCCCAGGGCAGCTGTGGCTACAGTAGGAGTTTATCACCACTGTGTTTGGAGAGAAAGAATAATGACATGTAAAGAGACTTTAAGAGTCCTGAAAAGCACTGAATAAAACCAATGTATTATTATTATTTGTGTCGTGGACGTTTTATTACTTTAACCGGGTTTTCTGTTAAGATAAACATAGATCTCTGATGGAGAAATGTACATGCAGGACATCTCCATCTGATAAAAGCTGTTATCAGTTTGAACAGAGCCCTTTAATGATCTTGCAGTATTCAAACTGTTTTAGTCGATTGATTTCAGTGTCAATTGTTTACTGTATTTTAATCTTGTTTTATTTATGCACTTGGGGACTTGTGCAAATGTTTTCCATCGTGGTTCTACTGCAAATGGCAAATAAATGAATCTGATCTGAGGTCAGATTGTGCAAATAGACAGGTTAAAAATATAGTCTGTGCAGGATATAATTATGTAAATGAAAAAGTGTGTGTTTGTCTGTGTGTGTGTCTGTGTTTGTCTGTGTGTGTGTGTGTCTGTGTGTGTCCATGAACCCTGACTTTGGAAGTGTCTTTGTGAGTCTGTGTTTGTGTGTGTGTGTCTGTGTGTGTCCATGAACCCTGACTTTGGAAGTGTCTTTGTGAGTCTAAAAAAGCGTTGTATAAAACATATGCATTATTAAAAGCCATTTGTACAGATGACATATTTGCTTTACTGTGACCTGTGTAGTCAGCCGTGTGTCTGTGTGTGTGTGTGTGTGCGCCCCTGTGTGTATCTGTGTGCGTGTGTGTGTCGTGCTGCTGTATAGTTCTGTAGTTGTCCCTGTGATGATCAGTTTGTGTTTCCAACGCTCTGGTAGCTGTGCGTGAAGCGCAGAGAGAGGATAAGGGCATGTTTTTTGGACGGCTTTAATGTGTGCGCAGCATCGTTCCAAAAAGACTCTCAGGTCAAACAGCACAACGTGGTGTCGCTAATAATTCATGTTTGTCCTCCAAAGACCCTGACATAAACAAACACACAGGCTTACGATCACATACACTGCAAAAACTGACGGAGAATAAGGAGAAAATACTACAATTCTGCAAAATGTGTCTTTAATCTGAGCATGTTCTGATTGAGCTTTAGACTAGTTTCTCCAAAAGGACAAAGGGAAAGGGACCGGAGGGGGAGAGAGAGACCGGAGGGGGAGAGAGGGACCGGAGGGGGAGAGAGAGAGAGACCGGAGGGGGAGAGAGAGAGACCGGAGGGGGAGAGAGAGAGACCGGAGGGGGAGAGAGAGAGACTGGAGGGGGAGAGAGAGAGACTGGAGGGGGAGAGAGGGAGACCGGAGGGGGAGAGGGGGAGACCGGAGGGGGAGAGAGAGAGACCGGAGGGGGAGAGAGAGACCGGACTTGATCAGACTTGGTCCCATTGGAGACTCGGGTCTATCACAGTCGGATCCAGACTTGGTCCCATTGGAGACTCGGGTCTATCACAGTCGGATCCAGACTTGGTCCCATTGGAGACTCGGGTCTATCACAGTCGGATCCAGACTTGGTCCCATTGGAGACTCGGGTCTATCACAGTCGGATCCAGACTTGGTCCCATTGGAGACTCGGGTCTATCACAGTCTGATCCAGACTTGGTCCCATTGGAGACTCGGGTCTATCACAGTCAGATCCAGACTTGATCCATTGGAGACTCGGGTCTATCACAGTCAGATCCAGACTTGGTCCCATTGGAGACTCGGGTCTATCACAGTCAGATCCAGACTTGGTCCATTGGAGCCTTGGGTCTATCACAGTCAGATCCAGACTTGGTCCCATTGGAGACTCTTTTATTCCTTGGTTTGTGACTGTTTGCAGTGTGTTCAGATGGTGCTGGGTTTCCGTCTCTCTTAATGCACATTGATCGCTCCCCTCCCTCTCGCTAATGAACAAATCGGATTCTTCACAGCTGACCAGTTTGATGCTTTCCAGTAATTTTCTGTGTGCTTAGTGCAGGATTATAAAAGGCAAATAATTCACTCTGAATAAGCCGGCGCTGTTCAAATCCCATATTATTTGGAGAGCATTCATTTGCTCAAATAATCAGCGTTATGAATCTGCTCTGGCGGCGCTCAGAGACGCGGCCAACGTAAACAAGACTTTCCACCAAAGTTTGATTTATTTAGTGTTTTGCCAACTTGCTTAAAAAGTGCAGAGGCCAAGTCGCTGAGCATGACGGTGTACACAGGCACAGGTGCAGCCGCCACCGCCAACGGCCACAGACCTGTTTGTCCTCCGTCACACAGCCCCATCACAGCCCCATCACAGCCCCATCACAGCCCCATCACAGCCCCATCCACCCCCATCACAGCCCCATCACAGCCCCATCCACTCCCATCCACTCCCATTAACCCACAAGTCAATGCATGCTTTTTTATTTAGCCTTAACCCTATATGCCCTGCACGCGCACATGTTTTACAAATGATCAATTTACTCGCGAACGGTAAAACGTAGCAACTTACTTTTTTTTCCTCTGTGAAGTACGTATTCAGGGCTTTCCGAAACTAGTTTTGATTTGTCTGTGCGATGCACGGAGGATAAACTACGTTTGTCTGAAGTCCGTGTCCAAAGCGTGACCCGTGAGGTACAAACAGCTGTGAGATACAAACACACGGGGACTGCCAAAGATCGTCAGAGAGTGAGATCTCTCACTCCTCTGCGTTTACTTGTTCTCCCACAGTTGAAACTACAGCTGCGATTGCAAAAACCGGCTGAAGAGTGCGCATTATTGATAAAGACGATAATAAATACAGTAAAATGACATTATGTGTATATGATGTATATAAATATATGTATTATATAAATAATTGGTGTTTTTTTTTTTTTTTGGCTCAGTTTTTTATGTTTTACGTTTTTTACAGCTGTACTACAGAAGCAACCCCAGCATTATAGACAAACTGCTTCAGGAAGGGCATCAGGAGTACAGAGTTTTTTGCTTTTATAGTGGAATTTTGTAAAAAGTATAATAGTTAGAGATTCAATTTTTTTCCCCATTATCCCCAAGACCATAAATAACATTTCTATGCAGTGTAAAAAGTTTTTTATAGCATTTCATTGTGTTTTTTCAATACATTTTTGTTAAATTGATTTTCCGTTTGATTTTTTTCTTTGTCTTTATGATTCAATCATTTTTATATAATTCATATGACAGCTTTACAATATGAATATTCTAAAACCCCAGGTTGTACTGAAAAAAACAAAGTATACTGCTTGACTCTGCATCAAAAGATGACTGTTTTATGAACCATTATACACAAAGAAAACCAGGCGAGGAAAGTTCCCCAAAATGACCCATGTGCATAGAGGGTTAATTTAACCAGGAAAGTTCCATTGATATTAAAAAACTTCTTTTCAAAGGAGTCCTGGACTAAAGTTACAGATGATAAAAAATAGTTCAAATCCCGGATTATAAAAACGGTTCAACGAGGAAGTCTCTGTGATGTTTAAAGTTTAGCCAAAGCAGAATCAAGTCGACTATTGTTCAGTAATCTTTAATAGTAATTTTTTAAAAGGGTAATTTCACTGTACGGAAGCTCATCAGACACTTTTTGCATTTTGACAAATAATATGTGTTAAGAGACTGCACTAGATGTTGTTTTTCTCAGAAAGAAGGTCCTGGGTCCGAATCCCGGTTGGAAGAGGGTCTTTCTGGTGCTCCAATATCCCCTACCACTAAAAACATGTACAATAGGTCTGAATGTAACGAGTGGAGGGTGTTTGGTCAGAGGTTCTGATGGACCAGTGTGTGTTTGGTCGGAGGTTCTGATAGACCAGTGTGTGTTTGGTCAGAGGTTCTGATGGACCAGTGTGTGTGTTTGGTCGGAGGTTCTGATGGACCAGTGTGTGTTTGGTCAGAGGTTCTGATGGACCAGTGTGTGTTTGGTCAGAGGTTCTGATGGACCAGTGTGTGTTTGGTCAGAGGCTCTGATGGACCAGTGTGTGTTTGGTCAGAGGTTCTGATGGACCAGTGTGTGTTTGGTCAGAGGTTCTGATGGACCAGTGTGTGTTTGGTCAGAGGTTCTGATGGACCAGTGTGTGTTTGGTCGGAGGTTCTGATGGACCAGTGTGTGTTTGGTCAGATGTTCTGATGGACCAGTGTGTGTTTGGTCGGAGGTTCTGATGGACCAGTGTGTGTTTGGTCAGAGGTTCTGATAGACCAGTGTGTGTTTGGTCAGAGGTTCTGATGGACCAGTGTGTGTTTGGTCGGAGGTTCTGATGGACCAGTGTGTGTTTGGTCGGAGGCTCTGATGGACCAGTGTGTGTTTGGTCGGAGGTTCTGATAGACCAGTGTGTGTTTGGTTGGAGGCTCTGATGGACCAGTGTGTGTTTGGTCGGAGGTTCTGATAGACCAGTGTGTGTTTGGTTGGAGGCTCTGATGGACCAGTGTGTGTTTGGTCGGAGGTTCTGATGGACCAGTGTGTGTTTGGTCGGAGGCTCTGATGGACCAGTGTGTTTTGGTCGGAGGCTCTGATGGACCAGTGTGTGTTTGGTTGGAGGTTCTGATAGACCAGTGTGTGTTTGGTCGGAGGCTCTGATGGACCAGTGTGTGTTTGGTCGGAGCTGTGGCGTGTGTGGTCGGAGGCTCTGATGGACCAGTGTGTGTTTGGTCGGAGGCTCTGATGGACCAGTGTGTGTTTGGTCGGAGGCCCTGATGGACCAGTGTGTGTGTTTGGTCGGAGGTTCTGATGGACCAGTGTGTGTTTGGTCGGAGGCTCTGATGGACCAGTGTGTGTTTGGTCGGAGGTTCTGATGGACCAGTGTGTGTTTGGTCGGAGGCTCTGATGGACCAGTGTGTGTTTGGTCGGAGGTTCTGATGGACCAGTGTCTTCAGTGTCTCCTCCATCATCACTGTGTGGAGTGAAGGGAACATTCTGAACTTTCAACAATTGTAAAGCTCCTGGTCTGCAAAAGGCACTACATAAAGATTACTTACTTCAAGGATGAGAGCACATTCAGTTCAGACGCAGAGGTCGCACAGTGCAGGGAAAATGTCAGTGTTGCATCACCGGTTACAGTAGAATGAGGAGCACTCGGCAACAGATGAATGAACATTAACTCTGTACTAAAATAATAAATCATTTCATACAATGTGAGCTCTTCAGACCCATCTCTTTGATCTTCCTCCTCTTCCTCCTCTTCCTCAGCTGCTGCGTCTGTCTGACTCTTCTTCCTCCTCTTCCTCAGCTGCTGCGACTGTCTGACTCTTCTTCCTCCTCTTCCTCAGCTGCTGCGACTGTCTGACTCTTCTTCCTCCTCTTCCTCAGCTGCTGCGACTGTCTGACTCTTCTTCCTCCTCTTCCTCAGCTGCTGCGACTGTCTGACTCTTCTTCCTCCTCTTCCTCAGCTGCTGCGACTGTCTGACTCTTCTTCCTCCTCTTCCTCAGCTGCTGCGACTGTCTGACTCTTCTTCCTCCTCTTCCTCAGCTGCTGCGACTGTCTGACTCTTCTTCCTCCTCTTCCTCAGCTGCTGCGACTGTCTGACTCTTCTTCCTCCTCTTCCTCAGCTGCTGCGACTGTCTGACTCTTCTTCCTCCTCTTCCTCAGCTGCTGCGACTGTCTGACTCTTCTTCCTCCTCTTCCTCAGCTGCTGCGACTGTCTGACTCTTCTTCCTCCTCTTCCTCAGCTGCTGCGACTGTCTGACTCTTCTTCCTCCTCTTCCTCAGCTGCTGCGACTGTCTGACTCTTCTTCCTCCTCTTCCTCAGCTGCTGCGACTGTCTGACTCTTCTTCCTCCTCTTCCTCAGCTGCTGCGACTGTCTGACTCTTCTTTCTCCTCTTCCTCAGCTGCTGCGACTGTCTGACTCTTCTTCCTCCTCTTCCTCAGCTGCTGCGACTGTCTGACTCTTCTTCCTCCTCTTCCTCAGCTGCTGCGACTGTCTGACTCTTCTTCCTCCTCTTCCTCAGCTGCTGCGACTGTCTGACTCTTCTTCCTCCTCTTCCTCAGCTGCTGCGACTGTCTGACTCTTCTTTCTCCTCTTCCTCAGCTGCTGCGACTGTCTGACTCTTCTTCCTCCTCTTCCTCAGCTGCTGCGACTGTCTGACTCTTCTTCCTCCTCTTCCTCAGCTGCTGCGACTGTCTGACTCTTCTTCCTCCTCTTCCTCAGCTGCTGCGACTGTCTGACTCTTCTTCCTCCTCTTCCTCAGCTGCTGCGACTGTCTGACTCTTCTTCCTCCTCTTCCTCAGCTGCTGCGACTGTCTGACTCTTCTTCCTCCTCTTCCTCAGCTGCTGCGACTGTCTGACTCTTCTTCCTCCTCTTCCTCAGCTGCTGCGACTGTCTGACTCTTCTTCCTCCTCTTCCTCAGCTGCTGCGACTGTCTGACTCTTCTTCCTCCTCTTCCTCAGCTGCTGCGACTGTCTGACTCTTCTTCCTCCTCTTCCTCAGCTGCTGCGACTGTCTGACTCTTCTTTCTCCTCTTCCTCAGCTGCTGCGACTGTCTGACTCTTCTTCCTCCTCTTCCTCAGCTGCTGCGACTGTCTGACTCTTCTTCCTCCTCTTCCTCAGCTGCTGCGACTGTCTGACTCTTCTTCCTCCTCTTCCTCAGCTGCTGCGACTGTCTGACTCTTCTTCCTCCTCTTCCTCAGCTGCTGCGACTGTCTGACTTTTCTTCCTCCTCTTCCTCAGCTGCTGCGACTGTCTGACTCTTCTTCCTCCTCTTCCTCAGCTGCTGCGACTGTCTGACTCTTCTTCCTCCTCTTCCTCAGCTGCTGCGACTGTCTGACTCTTCTTCCTCCTCTTCCTCAGCTGCTGCGACTGTCTGACTCTTCTTTCTCCTCTTCCTCAGCTGCTGCGACTGTCTGACTCTTCTTCCTCCTCTTCCTCAGCTGCTGCGACTGTCTGACTCTTCTTCCTCCTCTTCTTCAGCTGCTGCGACTGTCTGACTCTTCTTCCTCCTCTTCCTCAGCTGCTGCGACTGTCTGGCTCGATGCTGCAGGAGAAAGAAGGAGCTGAAGGCGAGGACCGTGTGGCTCGGATGTCCCGAGAAATGTGAAGAGAAATACCCCAAAAACGGCATCAAGAACCAGAAGTACAACATCATCACGTTTGTGCCTGGGGTAAATACAGACACAAGACTCACTTCCATTCTCCGGGTTTCAGGGCGGCCGCAAAAGGAACTTCATTCACTTTGATTTCTCTTCAATTTATTAATAATAATGCATAGGTTTTATATCTTGCTTTTTTGGACACTCAAAGACGCTTTCCACATCATTGTTTATTCACTCCAAACTCTGAGGTGATAAACTTCTCCTGTAGCCACAGCTGCCCTGGGGCACACTGACAGAAGCGAGGCAACCAGTCTGTGCCAATCTGTACATGTTAGCAGCACTATGTTAGCATCTGTACATTAGCAGCACTATGTTAGCATCTGTAAATTAGCAGCAGTATGTTAGCATCTGTACATTAGCAGCAGTATGTTAGCATCTGTACATTAGCAGCAGTATGTTAGCATCTGTACATTAGCAGCAGTATGTTAGCATCTGTACATTAGCAGCAGTATGTTAGCATCTGTACATTAGCAGCAGTATGTTAGCATCTGTACATTAGCAGCAGTATGTTAGCATCTGTACATTAGCAGCAGTATGTTAGCATCTGTACATTTAGCAGCAGTATGGGAGACCTTGGTCTGTAACATGCGTTATATAAATAAACCTTACTTACTTGTAGAACTCAGTACCACTTTTTTGTATTAATTAAGGAGCTCATTCCTTAGCCCCATAAATGCCATCTGTCCAGTGGAGACTCACGTCGTAATGGGCTCTGAACCAAACCTGCGCTCGTCCTGTGCCACTTTGAATTATTAAATACACACAAATTGAGTTTTAGGCCTGTGCATTTTTCCTTAAAGGTCAGAGAGGTTCATTAACTCTCCCATTGATCTGTGTCGGTGATAATCAGCACCAGACACCGGCCTCCGTTATTGCAAACATTATTCACAATCTGACCTTACATGAATGTAAGAGCGGGGCCGGAGCGGGGCCGGAGCGGGACCGGAGCGGGACCGGAGCGGGGCCGGAGCGGGGCCGGAGCGGGGCCGGAGCGGGGCCGGAGCGGGGCCGGAGCGCGGCCGGAGCGGGGCCGGAGCGGGGCCGGAGCGGGACCGGAGGGGCCGGAGCGGGGCCGGAATCACGGGGCCGGAGCGGGGCCGGAATCACGGGGCCGGAGCGGGGCCGGAATCACGGGGCCGGAGCGGGGCCGGAATCACAGACCCGGAATCACAGACCCGGAAACACAGACCCGTTTAGTCTATGGTTCTAGACTGTTTAAACTTTCTGGGTTTTTTTTTGTTGCTCCTGTGTGACCGTACATATGTCATGGATCCGTCATGTCTGTGGCTCCGTGTGATGTCACATGAAACGGACGTGTCTCCATGAGTCTAATGTGAAGTGACTTTAACCCTCTGGGGTCTAGAGCGTCGGATCTGACGCCTGCGCACATGTTTTATAAATGTTCAATTTTCTCATGAACGGCAAAACGTAGCGACTTACTTTTTTTTTCTCCGTGAAGTACACATTTCAGGCATTACAGCGCTAGTTTTGTTTTGTCTGTGTGACTTTTGGGGAATTTTCTAAGTGTGTTTGAAAGTCGGTGTCCAATCGGATCTTCGAGCGGTCTCCCGTGAGGTAAAACAGCCAAAACAGTAAAGTTATTTTGCTTACACGCTGACACAGGGACTGCCAAAGATTGTCAGAGAGTAGGATGATCCACTCTCCTGTGTGTATGTATTGTCCCATAGTTGAAATTACAGCTGCGATTGCAATTACTGATGCGTAAAAGACGCATTATTTTAGCGGAATGTTACGAAAATGCGTCCCCGACACAGCTAATGTAGCTTTGTATCACTGATCTACGTGATCTACGAGTGATGTGTGTGTTCAGAGTCTGGGCTTGAAAGTGCATTACACAAAGATAGGAGGAGACGCAGATGCAGCGCTCACAAGAGCCAGCACCGGGCTGAAGAGTGCGCATTATTGATGTAATTATATTATATATTTATTATTGACATCGATAAATACATTATAATGATATGATGTATATGAATATAAGATGTTGTTTTTCTTTCTTTGTTTTCTTAGTTTTTTTGTTTTACATATCTTACAGCTGTGATACTGAAGCAATATATAGACATAGACAAACTGCTTCAGGAAGGGCATCAGGAGTACAGCGTTTTTTTCACTTGTAGTGGAATTTTGTAAAAATTATAATAGTCACAGGTTCAATTTTTTTCCCCATCAACCCCAAGACCCTAAATAACATTTCTATACAGTGTAAAACGTTAGCAATAGCATTTCATTGTGTTTTTCAAAACATTTTGGTGAAATTGAATTTCCGTTTCATTTTTTTCTTTGTCTTCATGATTCCATATTTTTTATATAATTCATATGACAGCTGTACACTATGAATATTATAAATCCACAGGTTGTACTGAAAAAAACAAAGTTTACTGCTTGACTCTGCATCACAAGATGACTATTTTATGAGCAATTATACACAAAGAAAACCAGGCGAGGAAAGTTCCCCAAAATGAGCTTAGACCTTGAAGGGTTAACGTGTACCTTCTTCCATTGCGGGTCGCGAACACAGTCCCTCCTGCTGCTGTGGTGTTTACGCTCACCTCTGTCTCCTCAGGTCCTGTATCAACAGTTCAAGTTCTTCCTCAACCTCTACTTTCTCATCGTGGCCTGTTCCCAGTTTGTGCCGTCGCTGAAGATCGGCTTTTTGTACACGTACTGGGCGCCGCTGGTAAAAACTACACACAAGTCATTTCTCCACATTTTATATAAACATCAACATCCTGTGTCAGCGTTACAGCCACTTGATTATAGCTTTACAAATGTTACACAACAAAATATTCTTGAAACATTCTGATAAAAAGGGAAAGAATGTTTTTTGTATAGCCCAAGATCACAACAGAGGACTCAGAGGATTTTACAATGTTGTTGATTTGCCAGATCTGAGAAAATACTGTAGAAAATGCAATAATAAGACATTTGTTCATAATGAGCCGAATGAGCAATGTTAATAAAAGTTTATAAAAGTCCTGGATCATCATTACGGTCAAAAACCCAGTGGGAAAGAGTGCTAAACCTCAGTGAAGCCGATGTTGAGGGAGGGATCCGGGACCACGAACCAACAGGCTCTAGATCCAGGACTCAAGCCTGATGGCACAAAACAAGTTTATTCAAATATTGGCCATTTTGTTTACTTCTCACTAAAAACAACAATCTTTTAGTGATAGCTTTAGTCACTAAACTCTAGACTAGGAAAAAACTCATTAGAAAGCAGACCAGATGAATATTTATCTAATTAGGCTTTCTTCCATACTGTCTTTCTCCTGAATGCACACATTGAAGTGATAATAATAATATTCATGCAGATGTAGTTCAATGCACTGTATATGTGTCATTCATGTATTTGTAACCGTTAGTAACCGTTAGTAACCGTTAGTAACCGTTAGTAACCTGTGGTGTCCTCAGGGTTTTGTGCTGGCGGTGACGATGGTCCGAGAGGCCGTGGATGAAGTGCGGCGATATCGAAGAGACAAAGAGATGAACTCTCAGCTCTACAGCAAACTCACCGTCAGAGGTGAGAGGAGCCGCCGCACTCACCGCCCTCACCTCACTCACCGCCCTCACCGCACTCACCGCCCTCACCGCCCTCACCTCACTCACCGCCCTCACCGCACTCACCTCACTCACCTCACTCACCGCCCTCACCTCACTCACCTCACTCACCGCCCTCACCGCACTCACCTCACTCACCGCACTCACCTCACTCACCGCCCTCACCGCCCTCACCTCACTCACCGCCCTCACCGCCCTCACCTCACTCACCCTCTCACCTCACTCACCGCCCTCACCGCCCTCACCGCCCTCACCGCCCTCACCGCCCTCACCTCACTCACCTCACTCACCGCCCTCACCGCCCTCACCGCCCTCACCGCCCTCACCGCCCTCACCGCCCTCACCGCCCTCACCGCCCTCACCGCACTCACCTCACTCACCGCCCTCACCTCACTCACCCTCAGCCCTCACCGCCCTCACCCGCCCTCACCGCCCTCACCTCACTCACCGCCCTCACCGCCCTCACCTCACTCACCGCCCTCACCTCACTCACCGCCCTCACCGCCCTCACCGCCCTCACCTCACTCACCGCCCTCACCTCACTCACGCCCTCACCTCACTCACCGCCCTCACCGCCCTCACCGCCTCACCTCACTCACCGCTCTCACCGCCCTCACCTCACTCACCGCTCTCACCGCCCTCACCGCCCTCACCGCCCTCACCTCACTCACCGCCCTCTCACCTCACTCACCGCCCTCACCGCCCTCACCGCCCTCACCTCACTCACCGCCCTCACCTCACTCACCTCACTCACCGCCCTCACCGCCCTCACCGCCCTCACCGCCCTCACCGCCCTCACCGCCCTCACCTCACTCACCGCTCTCACCGCCCTCACCGCCCTCACCTCACTCACCGCCCTCACCGCCCTCACCTCACTCACCGCCCTCACCTCACTCACCGCCCTCACCGCTCTCACCGCCCTCACCGCCCTCACCTCATCACCTCACTCACCGCCCTCACCGCCCTCACCGCCCTCACCGCCCTCACCTCACTCACCGCCCTCACCTCACTCACCGCCCTCACCGCTCTCACCGCCCTCACCGCCCTCACCGCCCTCACCGCCCTCACCTCACTCACCGCCCTCACCGCCCTCACCGCCCTCACCTCACTCACCGCCCTCACCTCACTCACCTCACTCACCGCCCTCACCGCCCTCACCTCACTCACCGCCTCACCGCCCTCACCTCACTCACCGCCCTCACCGCCCTCACCGCCTCACGCCTCACCGCCCTCACCGCCCTCACCTCACTCACCGCCCTCACCGCACTCACCGCCCTCACCGCCCTCACCTCACTCACCTCTCACCGCCCTCACCGCACTCACCGCCCTCACCGCCCTCACCGCACTCACCGCCTCACCGCCCTCACCTCACTCACCGCCCTCACCTCACTCACCGCCCTCACCGCCTCACCGCCCTCACCGCCCTCACCGCCTCACCGCCCTCACCGCCCTCACCGCCCTCACCTCACTCACCGCCCTCACCGCCCTCACCTCCCTCACCTCACTCACCGCCCTCACCGCCCTCACCGCTCTCACCGCCCTCACCTCACTCACCCACTCACCGCCCTCACCTCACCCTCACCTCACTCACCGCCCTCACCTCACCCCTCACCGCCCTCACCGCCCTCACCGCCCTCACCGCCCTCACCTCACTCACCGCCCTCACCCACCGCCTCTCACCGCCCTCACCTCACTCACCGCCTCACCGCACTCACGCCCTCACCGCCCTCACCGCCCTCACCTCACTCACCGCCCTCACCGCACTCACCGCCCTCACCGCACTCACCGCCTCACCCCCTCACCGCCCTCACCGCCCTCACCTCCCTCACCCACTCACCGCCCTCACCTCACTCACCGCTCTCACCGCCCTCACACCGCCCTCACCGCCCTCACCGCCCTCACCGCCCTCACCTCACTCACCGCCCTCACCTCACTCACCGCCCTCACCGCCCTCACCGCCCTCACCTCACTCACCGCCCTCACCGCCCTCACCTCACTCACCGCACTCACCGCCCTCACCGCCCTCACCTCACTCACCGCCCTCACCGCCCTCACCGCCCTCACCGCCCTCACCGCACTCACCGCCCTCACCGCCCTCACCGCCCTCACCGCCCTCACCGCCCTCACCGCCCTCACCGCCCTCACCGCCCTCACCGCCCTCACCGCCCTCACCGCCCTCACCTCACTCACCGCCCTCACCTCACTCACCGCCCTCACCGCCCTCACCGCCCTCACCTCACTCACCGCCCTCACCGCCCCCGCCCTCACCTCACTCCGCCCTCACCTCACTCACCGCCCTCACCTCATCACGCACTCACCGCCCTCACCTCACTCACCGCCCTCACCGCCCTCACCGCCCTCACCGCCCTCACCCACTCACCGCTCACTCCCTCACCGCCCTCACCGCCCTCACCGCCCTCACCGCCCTCACCTCACTCACCGCCCTCACCTCACTCACCGCCCTCACCTCACTCACCGCCCTCACCGCCCTCACCGCCCTCACCCTCTCACCGCCCTCACCGCACTCACCTCACTCACCGCCCTCACCTCACTCACCGCCCTCACCGCCCTCACCGCCCTCACCGCCCTCACCGCCCTCACCTCACTCACCGCCCTCACCTCACTCACCGCCCTCACCGCCCTCACCGCACTCACCGCCCTCACCGCCCTCACCGCCCTCACCTCACTCACCGCCCTCACCTCACTCACCGCCCTCACCTCACTCACCGCCCTCACCGCCCTCACCTCACTCACCGCCCTCACCGCCCTCACCGCCCTCACCGCCCTCACCGCCACTCACCGCCCTCACCGCCACTCACCGCCCTCACCGCCCTCACCGCCCTCACCGCCCTCACCGCCCTCACCGCACTCACCGCCCTCACCGCCCTCACCGCCCTCACCGCCCACTCACCGCCCTCACCGCCCTCACGCCCTCACCGCCTCACTCACTCACACGCCCTCACGCCACACGCCCTCACCGCCCTCACCGCCCTCACCGCCCTCACCGCCCCACCGCCTCACCGCACTCACCGCCCTCACTCACTCACCGCCCTCACCGCCCTCACCTCACTCACCGCCCTCACCTCACTCACCGCCCTCACCCTACTCACCGCCCTCACCGCCTCACCTCACCGCCCTCACCCCACCCACTCACCGCCCTCACCGCCCTCACCGCCCTCACCGCACTCACCGCCCTCACCGCCCTCACCCCACTCACCGCCTCACTCACCGCCCTCACCTCACTCACCGCCCTCTCACCTCCCTCACCGCCCTCACCGCCCTCACCGCACTCACCGCCCTCACCTCACTCACCGCCCTCACCGCCCTCACCTCACCGCACCTCACCACCTCACTCACCTCTCACCTCACCGCCCTCACCGCCCTCACTCACCGCACCTCACTCACCGCCCTCACCGCCCTCACCTCACCACGCACTCACCTCCTCACCGCCCTCACCTCACTCACCGCCACTCACCGCCCTCACCGCCCTCACCTCACTCACCGCCCTCACCCACCTCACCACCGCCCTCACCTCACTCACCGCCTCACCGCCCTCACCTCACTCACCGCCCTCACTCCGCCCTCACCGCCCTCACCTCACTCACCGCCCTCACCTCCCTCACCGCACTCACCGCCCTCACCTCACTCACCGCCCTCACCTCACTCACCGCACTCACCGCCCTCACCTCACTCACCGCCTCACCGCCCTCACCTCACTCACCGCCCTCACCGCCCTCACCTCACTCACCGCCACTCACCTCACTCACCGCCCTCACCGCCCTCACCTCACTCACCGCTCTCACCGCCCTCACCTCACTCACTCACCACCGCACCACCTCACTCACCGCCCTCACCGCCCTCACCGCCCTCACCGCCCTCACCGCACTCACCTCACTCACCGCCCTCACCGCCCTCACCGCCCTCACCGCCCTCACCTCACTCACTCACCGCCCTCACCTCACTCACCGCCCTCACCGCCCTCACCTCACTCACCGCCCTCACCGCCCTCACCGCCCTCACCGCCCTCACCGCCCTCACCGCCCTCACCGCCCTCACCGCCCTCACCGCCCTCACCGCCCTCACCTCACTCACCGCCCTCACCGCCCTCACCGCCCTCACCGCCCTCACCGCACTCACCGCCCTCACCGCCCTCACCTCACTCACCGCCCTCACCTCACTCACCTCACTCACCGCCCTCACCTCACTCACCTCACTCACCGCCCTCACCGCCCTCACCTCACTCACCGCCCTCACCGCCCTCACCTCACTCACCGCACTCACCGCACTCACCTCACTCACCGCCCTCACCGCCCTCACCTCACTCACCGCCCTCACCGCCCTCACCGCCCTCACCGCCCTCACCGCACTCACCGCCCTCACCGCCCTCACCTCACTCACCGCCCTCACCGCCCTCACCTCACTCACCGCCCTCACCGCCCTCACCTCACTCACCGCACTCACCGCCCTCACCGCCCTCACCGCCCTCACCGCCCTCACCGCCCTCACCTCACTCACCGCCCTCACCGCCCTCACCTCACTCACCGCTCTCACCGCCCTCACCTCACTCACCGCCCTCACCTCACTCACCGCCCTCACCGCCCTCACCGCCCTCACCTCACTCACCGCACTCACCGCCCTCACCGCCCTCACCGCCCTCACCGCCCTCACCGCCCTTACCTCACTCACCGCCCTCACCGCCCTCACCTCACTCACCTCACTCACCGCCCTCACCTCACTCACCGCCCTCACCTCACTCACCGCCCTCACCGCCCTCACCTCACTCACCGCCCTCACCTCACTCACCGCCCTCACCTCACTCACCGCTCTCACCTCACTCACCGCCCTCACCGCACTCACCTCACTCACCGCCCTCACCTCACTCACCGCACTCACCGCCCTCACCTCACTCACCGCCCTCACCTCACTCACCGCCCTCACCGCCCTCACCTCACTCACCGCTCTCACCGCCCTCACCTCACTCACCTCACTCACCTCACTCACCGCCCTCACCTCACTCACCTCACTCACCGCCCTCACAGCCCTCACCTCACTCACCGCCCTCACCTCACTCACCGCCCTCACCGCCCTCACCGCCCTCACCGCCCTCACCGCACTCACCTCACTCACCGCCCTCACCGCCCTCACCTCACTCACCGCCCTCACCTCACTCACCGCCCTCACCTCACTCACCGCCCTCACCTCACTCACCGCCCTCACCGCCCTCACCTCACTCACCGCCCTCACCGCCCTCACCGCCCTCACCGCCCTCACCTCACTCACCGCCCTCACCGCCCTCACCGCCCTCACCGCCCTCACCGCACTCACCGCCCTCACCGCCCTCACCTCACTCACCGCCCTCACCTCACTCACCTCACTCACCGCCCTCACCTCACTCACCTCACTCACCGCCCTCACCGCCCTCACCGCCCTCACCTCACTCACCGCCCTCACCGCCCTCACCGCCCTCACCTCACTCACCGCCCTCACCGCCCTCACCTCACTCACCGCCCTCACCGCCCTCACCTCACTCACCGCCCTCACCGCCCTCACCGCCCTCACCGCCCTCACCGCCCTCACCTCACTCACCGCCCTCACCGCCCTCACCTCACTCACCGCTCTCACCGCCCTCACCTCACTCACCGCCCTCACCTCACTCACCGCCCTCACCGCCCTCACCGCCCTCACCTCACTCACCGCACTCACCGCCCTCACCGCCCTCACCGCCCTCACCGCCCTCACCGCCCTTACCTCACTCACCGCCCTCACCGCCCTCACCTCACTCACCTCACTCACCGCCCTCACCGCCCTCACCTCACTCACCGCCCTCACCTCACTCACCGCCCTCACCGCCCTCACCTCACTCACCGCCCTCACCTCACTCACCGCCCCTCACCTCACCGCTCTCACCGCCCTCACCGCCCTCACCTCCCTCACCGCCCTCACCTCACTCACCTCACTCACCGCCCTCCCTCACCGCCCTCACCGCACTCACCTCACTCACCTCACTCACCGCACTCACCGCCCTCACCTCACTCACCGCCCTCACCGCCCTCACCTCACTCACCGCCCTCACCTCACTCACCTCACTCACCGCTCTCACCGCCCTCACCGCCCTCACCTCACTCACCTCACTCACCGCACTCACCGCCCTCACCGCCCTCACCTCACTCACCGCCCTCACCGCACTCACCGCCCTCACCTCACTCACCGCACTCACCGCACTCACCGCCCTCACCGCCCTCACCTCACTCACCGCCCTCACCGCCCTCACCTCACTCACCTCACTCACCGCCCTCACCGCCCTCACCTCACTCACCGCTCTCACCGCCCTCACCTCACTCACCGCCCTCACCGCCCTCACCGCCCTCTACCGCCCTCACCTCACTCACCGCCCTCACCGCCCTCACCGCCCTCACCGCCCTCACCGCCCTCACCGCCCTCACCGCTCTCACCGCCCTCACCGCCCTCACCTCACTCACCTCACTCACCGCTCTCACCTCACTCACCTCACTCACCGCTCTCACCGCCCTCACCGCCCTCACCGCCCTCACCTCACTCACCGCCCTCACCGCCCTCACCGCTCTCACCGCCCTCACCTCACTCACCTCACTCACCGCTCTCACCGCCCTCACCGCCCTCACCTCACTCACCGCCCTCACCGCCCTCACCGCTCTCACCGCCCTCACCGCCCTCACCTCACTCACCGCCCTCACCTCACTCACCTCCTCACACTCACCGCTCTCACCGCTCTCACCGCCCTCACCGCCCTCACCGCCCTCACCGCCCTCACCGCCCTCACCGCCCTCACCGCCTCACCCCTCACCGCCCTCACCGCCCTCACCTCACTCTCACCGCCCTCACCGCCCTCACCTCACTCACCGCCCTCACCTCACTCACCTCACTCACCGCCCTCACCTCACTCACCTCACTCACCGCCCTCACCTCACTCACCTCACTCACCGCCCTCACCGCCCTCACCTCACTCACCGCCCTCACCTCACTCACCGCCCTCACCTCACTCACCGCCCTCACCTCACTCACCGCCCTCACCGCCCTCACCGCCCTCACCGCCCTCACCGCCCTCACCGCCCTCACCGCCCTCACCACCCTCACCTCACTCACCGCACTCACCGCCCTCACCGCCCTCACCGCCCTCACCGCCCTCACCGCCCTCACCGCCCTCACCTCACTCACCTCACTCACCGCCCTCACCTCACTCACCTCACTCACCGCTCTCACCGCCCTCACCGCCCTCACCGCCCTCACCTCACTCACCGCCCTCACCGCCCTCACCGCTCTCACCGCCCTCACCGCCCTCACCTCACTCACCTCACTCACCGCTCTCACCGCCCTCACCGCACTCACCTCACTCACCGCCCTCACCGCCCTCACCTCACTCACCGCTCTCACCGCCCTCACCGCTCTCACCGCCCTCACCAAGCCCCTCACCGCCCTCACCCGCCCTCACCTCACTCACCGCCCTCACCTCACTCACCGCCCTCACCGCCCTCACCGCCCTCACCGCTCTCACCGCCCTCACCGCACTCACCGCACTCACCTCACTCACCGCCCTCACCGCCCTCACCGCTCTCACCGCCCTCACCGCACTCACCTCACTCACCTCACTCACCTCACTCACCTCACTCACCGCCCTCACCTCACTCACCGCACTCACCTCACTCACCGCCCTCACCTCACTCACCGCCCTCACCGCCCTCACCTCACTCACCCACCGCCCTCACCGCCCTCACCTCACTCACCGCCCTCACCGCCCTCACCTCACTCACCGCCCTCACCGCCCTCACCGCCCTCACCGCCCTCACCGCCCTCACCTCACTCACCGCACTCACCTCACTCACCGCCCTCACCTCACTCACCGCCCTCACCGCCCTCACCGCCCTCACCGCCCTCACCGCCCTCACCTCACTCACCGCCCTCACCGCCCTCACCCGCCCTCACCTCACTCACCGCCCTCACCTCACTCACCGCCCTCACCGCCCTCACCGCCCTCACCGCCCTCACCGCCCTCACCGCCCTCACCGCCCTCACCTCACTCACCGCCCTCACCGCCCTCACCTCACTCACCGCCCTCACCGCCCTCACCGCCCTCACCTCACTCACCGCCCTCACCGCCCTCACCGCCCTCACCTCACTCACTGCCCTCACCTCACTCACCGCCCTCACCTCACTCACCGCCCTCACCGCACTCACTCACTCACCGCCCTCACCGCCCTCACCGCCCTCACCGCCCTCACCGCCCTCACCGCCCTCACCGCCCTCACCGCCCTCACCGCCCTCACCGCCCTCACCTCACTCACCGCCCTCACCTCACCTCACCCCCTCACCTCACTCACCGCCCTCACCGCCTCACCGCCCTCACTCCCCGCACTCCCGCACTCCCTCACCGCCCTCACTCCCCTCACTCCTCACTCCCTCACCCCTCACCGCCCTCACTCCCCTCACCGCCCCTCACTCCCCGCACTCCCCTCACTCCCCGCCCTCACCCCCGCACTCCCCCACTCACCTCACTCCCTCACCCCTCACTCACTCACCTCACTCCACCGCTCTCACCGCCCTCACCGCCCTCACTCACTCACCGCCCTCACGCCTCACCGCCACTCACCGCCCTCACCTCACTCACCGCCCTCACCGCACTCACCTCCCACACAGCCTCACTCACTCGCCGCTCACCTCACTCACGCCCTCACCGCCCTCACCTCACTCACCGCCGCAACTCACTCACCGCTCTCACCGCCCTCACCGCCTCACCTCACTCACCTCACCACCCTCACTCACCTCACTCCACCGCCCTCACTCAACTCACCGCCCTCACCGCTTCACCGCCCTCACCGCCCTCACCTCACTCACCGCCCTCACACCTCACTCACCGCACTCACCGCCTCACCTCACTCACCTCAAACACCTCACTCCACGCCCCTCACCTCCACTCACCGCACTCACCGCCCTCACCTCACTCACCGCCCTCACCTCATCACCTCACTCACCGCCCTAACCTTCACTCACTCACTCACCGCTTCACCGCCTCTACCGCCCCCACCTCACTCACCGCCCTCACCTCACTCACCGCCCTCACCTCACTCACCGCACTCACCTCACTCACCGCTCTCACCGCCCCTCACCGCCCTCACCTCACTCACCGCCCTCACCTCACTCACCTCACTCACCCGCCCTCAACCGCCCTCACCTCACTCACCTCCACTCACCTCACTCACCGCCCTCACCACACTCACCTCACTCACGCACCTCACCTCACTCACCGCCCTCACCCGCCCTCACCTCACTCACCGCCCCCACCGCCCTCAACCTCACTCACCGCCCTAACCTCACTCACCGCCCTCACCGCCCTCACCGCCCTCACCACACTCACCTCACTCACCGCCCTCACTCAACTCACCGCCCTCACCGCCCTCACCGCCCTCACCTCACTCACCGCCCTCCTCACTCACCGCCCTCACCGCCCTCACCTCACTCACCGCCCTCACCTCACTCAACCGCCCTAACCTCACTCACCGCCCTCACCTCACACTCACCGCCCTCACCGCCCTCACCGCACTCACCTCACTCACCCACTCACCGCCCTCACCTCACTCACCGCCCTCACCGGCCTCTTCACTCACTCACCGCCCTCACCGCCCTCACCGCCCTCACCTCACTCACCGCCCTCACCGCTCTCACGCCCTCACCCTCACTCACCGCCCTCACCGCACTCACCGCCCTCACCGACCTCACCTCAACTCACCGCCCTCAACCTCACTCACCTGCCCTTCACCGCACTCCACCGCCCTCACCGCCCTCACCTCACTCACCTCACTCTCATCCACTCTCACCGCCCTCACCGCTCTCACCTCACTCACCGCCCTCACCGCCCCTCACCGCCCTCACCGCCTCACCTCACTCACCGCCCTCACCGCCCTCACCTCACTCACCTCACTCACCGCCTTCACCTCACTCACCGCCCTCCACCTCACTCACCGCCCTCACCTCCACTCACCGCCCTCACTCAAATCACCGCCCTCACCTCACTCACCTCCACTCACGTCTCCCGCCTCACCGCCCCTCACCTCCACTCACCGACCTCACCTCACTCACCTCACTACCTCACTCACCGCCCTCCCTCACTCACCGCCCTCAACCTCACTCACCGCCCTCACCTCAACTCACCGCCCTCACCTCACTCACCGCCCCTCAACCACCTCCTCACCGCTCTACCGCCCTCACCGCCCTCACTCACTCACCGCCTCACCTCACTCACCGCACTCACCTCACTCACATCACTCACCCGCCCTCACCTCACTCACCGCCCTCACCATCCTCACCTCACTCACCGCTCTCACCCGCCCTCACCGCCCTCACTCACTCACGCCTCACTCACCTCACCGCCCTCCACCTCACTCACCGCTCTCACCGCCCACACCGCCCTCACCGCCCTCACCTCACTCACCGCCCTCACCTCACTCACCGCCCTCACCACCTCACTCACCGCACTCACCGCACTCACCTCACTCACCGCTCTCACCGCCCACCTCACCGCCCTCACCTCACTCACCGCCCTCACCTCACTCACCTCACTCACCGCCCTCCTCACCCGCCTCTCACCTCACTCACCTCACTCACCTCACTCACTCACCGCCCTCACCGCCCTCACCTCACTCACCTCACTCACCGCCCTCACCTCACTCACCGCCCTCACCGCCCTCACCTCACTCACCGCCCTCACCTCACTCACCTCACTCACCGCCCTCACCGCCCTCACCGCCCTCACCTCACTCACCGCCCTCACCGCCCTCACCGCACTCACCGCCCTCACCTCACTCACCGCCCTCACCTCACTCACCGCTCTCACCTCACTCACCGCCCTCACCGCACTCACCGCCCTCACCTCACTCACCTCACTCACCTCACTCACCGCCCTCACCTCACTCACCGCCCTCACCTCACTCACCGCACTCACCGCCCTCACCGCCCTCACCGCCCTCACCTCACTCACCGCCCTCACCTCACTCACCGCCCTCACCTCACTCACCGCACTCACCTCACTCACCTCACTCACCGCCCTCACCTCACTCACCGCCCTCACCTCACTCACCTCACTCACCGCTCTCACCGCCCTCACCGCCCTCACCTCACTCACCGCCCTCACCTCACTCACCGCCCTCACCTCACTCACCGCACTCACCTCACTCACCTCACTCACCGCCCTCACCTCACTCACCGCCCTCACCTCACTCACCTCACTCACCGCACTCACCGCCCTCACCTCACTCACCGCCCTCACCTCACTCACCGCCCTCACCTCACTCACCGCCCTCACCTCACTCACCGCACTCACCTCACTCACCGCTCTCACCGCCCTCACCGCCCTCACCTCACTCACCGCCCCTCACCGCCCTCACCGCTCTCACCTCACTCACCTCACTCACCGCACTCACCGCCCTCACCTCACTCACCGCCCTCACCTCACTCATTGCCCTCACCTCACTCACCGCACTCACCTCACTCACCTCACTCACCGCCCTCACCTCACTCACCTCACTCACCGCTCTCACCGCCCTCACCGCCCTCACCTCACTCACCGCCCTCACCTCACTCACCGCCCTCACCTCACTCACCGCACTCACCTCACTCACCGCTCTCACCGCCCTCACCGCCCTCACCTCACTCACCGCCCTCACCGCCCTCACCTCACTCACCTCACTCACCTCACTCACCGCCCTCACCGCCCTCACCTCACTCCCCTCACTCCCCTCACTCCCCTCACTCCCCGCACTCCCCTCACTCCCCTCACTCCCCTCACTCCCCTCACTCCCCTCACTCCCCGCCCTCACTCCCCTCACTCCCCTCACTCCCCGCCCTCACCGCCCTCACTCCCCGCACTCCCCGCACTCCTCGCACTCCCCTCACTCCCCTCACTCCCCTCACTCACCCCCGCACTCCCCTCACTCCCCGCACTCCCCTCACTCCTCTCACTCCCCTCACTCCCCGCACTCCCCTCACTCCCCTCACTCCCCGCCCTCACTCCCCGCACTCTCCCCCTCACTCCCCTCACTCCCCGCCCTCCCCTCACTCCCCCCACTCCCCCCACTCCCCCCACTCCCCTCACTCCCCTCACTCCCCCCACTCCCCCCACTCCCCTCACTCCCCTCACTCCCCGCACTCCCCGCACTCCCCGCACTCCCCCGCACTCCCCTCACTCCCCTCACTCCCCTCACTCCCCGCACTCCCCGCACTCCCCGCACTCCCCTCACTCCCCTCACTCCCCTCACTCCCCGCCCTCACCGCCCTCACCGCCTTCACTCCCCTCACTCCCCTCACTCCCCTCACTCCCCCCACTCCCCCCACTCCCCTCACTCCCCTCACTCCCCTCACTCCCCTCACTCCCCTCACTCCCCGCACTCCCCGCACTCCCCTCACTCCCCTCACTCCCCTCACTCCCCTCACTCCCCTCACCGCCCTCACTCCCCGCCCTCACTCCCCGCACTCCCCTCACTCCCCTCACTCCCCGCCCTCACCGCCCTCACCGCCCGCACTCCCCTCACTCCCCTCACTCCCCTCACTCCCCTCACTCCCCGCCCTCACCGCCCTCACCGCCCGCACTCCCCTCACTCCCCTCACTCCCCTCACTCCCCGCCCTCACCCCCTCACTCCCCGCACTCCCCGCACTCCCCTCACTCCCCTCACTCCCCGCCCTCACCGCCCTCACTCCCCGCACTCCCCTCACTCCCCGCACTCCCCTCACTCCCCGCACTCCCCTCACTCCCCTCACTCCCCGCCCTCACCGCCCTCACTCCCCGCACTCCCCTCACTCCCCTCACTCCCCGCACTCCCCGCACTCCCCTCACTCCCCGCCCTCACCGCCCTCACTCCCCTCACTCCCCTCACTCCCCTCACTCCCCGCACTCCCCGCACTCCCCTCACTCCCCTCACTCCCCGCACTCCCCTCACTCCCCTCACTCCCCTCACTCCCCTCACTCCCCTCACTCCCCGCCCTCACCGCCCTCACTCCCCTCACTCCCCTCACTCCCCTCACTCCCCTCACTCCCCGCCCTCACCTCACTCAGAATGAAGAGTGCATTAGTGGCGTCAAGTGGCGTTCTATAAAACTGACTCTTTTTGGACAATAGATTACATGAGGTTTCAATCATAAGGTTTTATACAAGTTCTTCTGGTAAAGTTGAAAAATGTTTAGAAAAATGCTCAATGATGTCAGATGTCCTGTTTATGTGATTACCTTTAGTAATTTATTTGGAAGTTACCAAAAACTAGAAGTGACCGAAAACCAGAAGTGACCGAAAACCAGAAGTGACCGAAAACCAGAAGTGGGGCGAAAACCAGAAGTGGGGCGAAAACCAGAAGTGGGGCGAAAACCAGAAGTGGGGCGAAAACCAGAAGTGGGGCGAAAACCAGAAGCGACCGAAAACTAGTGCCAAACTGCTTTGCGATGGAGGACCTAGCTGGATATACTGTAGTTAAATCTTTTGTGGTCTGAAAGTTAGCCCTCCTCCTAAACTGCTAATCTAATCACAAAGCTTGTCTGAATAATCTTGATAGAGCTCGCCCTGAACCACTGCCCCAGAACACTGCCCCCCCCCTCAGAAACCCTAGCCGGGCCTCCTCTCTGGACCTATACTGTTTGCCCACACCAGGACAGCTGATATTCTGGTGTACAGTGCATGGCTCCCAGTGCAATTAAGAGCTGATCTACACTTGTAACAGAAGTCCTCGCTCCGGCCGTGAGAGCATTGATTTTCTCTTGGTTTCTCAGACCCTATGATCTAAGATGTGTCCTTTTGTTGATTGTGTGGTCAATTCCCCGACGGCGGATCGGTGACACGCGCTGTAACTCTCGCAGCCTCTGAGTGCTCCGTAGGCGGCGACGTTTGCCGTGTGCAGAGGGCGAATGTGGAATCGGCCGCGTGTGGATCTGTAGAGTTTTGGGTTGAAGCTAAATTAAAATGAATGTGTGCTTTTAAAATGGAGATTCCTGTGATTGTAGATGGGAAACGATAGCTGCAAAACTGCTCTGGTGTTTGTTGTATGTTAATTACAATACTTCTGGTTACAGTGTCTAAGCCTGTTAGCCTGATTCTCTGATGTGATCATCATGATCATGTGATCATGTTATCCTAATTTAATAATGTATATTCTAATACTGTAGCTGCGCCATTCAAAGTGAAACCGCTTATAGACTCCCATCTCCTTCTGTGACGTCCCATAACTCTGCCTTACGTATCTTTTACGTGTATATTTCTGCATATTTCTGTTTACAAACTGTAGTTTTATTGATGCAAAACTAAAAGCCTGTTTTCTTCTTTGTCAGGAAAAACCCCGGTGAAGAGTTCGGACATTCAAGTGGGAGATCTGATCATTGTGGAAAAGGTACGTTTACTTTTATTCTATTGTGTTTAGACCTGGATGAAGTGTTGCTGGAGAGTCTACCACAAGACCTCTATATGTATGTGTGTGTGTATATTGAAACATCCAAGCTTTAAGAAGTGTATTTGTCCTTCAGAAAATCATAATGTCCAAATGTGTGTTTTTGTAGAACCAGAGGATTCCCGCAGACTTGATTTTTCTGAGAACTTCTGAGAAAAATGGTGAGTGAAAATAGTCTATTGTCGATCTGAGCTATGAAAGAATCTTCCTGTCCTATAAATAATCCAACTTATTCAACTATTTAACTGTTACACACTAATTAAAGAGGAGGATAGAGGTTTTTGTTGTCTTTTAAAGTGAGATTATGTGACGCCCATGAATGCTGTATCCCAGGGCTATCTAACTCGGTCCTCAAAGGGCCGAGGGGCTGCAGGTTTTCATTCCAACCAAGCAGGAGCACAGCAGACTCCACCCATTTCCTCAGGTGAGTCCAGTCTGAACCTGGAGACTTGAGGAAATGGGTGAGTCTGATGTGCTCCTGTTGGGTTGGAATGAAAACCTGCAGCCACTCGGCCCTTTGAGTCAAATAGCCCTACTTTAGAATTCTCCTTGTTTAATTTAATATTCCCTCATGAAATTCCCTAAAATGTCCCCGCCGTGGGGGACATTTGTTTGAGAATCTTTTAATCTTCCCAGTCGTGATGGTGGCCAAATATTTTTCAACTTGCTAAAAAGTTATTTAAAGTTGACTGTTGCCATATTTAAGCTGATTCTATATTGACTGTTTTTTTCTTCCGCTCATGTTTGTGCTGTGTTAAATGGGAGGAGTCTGATGTGCTCCTGCTTGGTTGGAATGAAAACCTGCAGCCACTCGGCCCTTTGAGGACAGGGATGGACGCCCCTGTGGTTTCCTCTGTAAATGAATTGCTCTGTTGAACTCTGAGATGTAGATTTCCCATAATCCATTGGTGTTATTTATGCCGCGGCCTGTGACAGATGCAGCAGGTGCCAATAATTCAATAAACCTTTTTAGCAGAAGTGTCGGAGGACGTTCCCATCCCTCACGTGTCAATACGGCTTTGTCCTTACGCCTTAAAAACACACTTTGCAGAGAGAGATATTTGTTTTTGTACAGTTCAGTTTGATCTGGATCAGACAATGCAAGAAATCCAAAACATAATGCATTACCAAACTAAATATGGTGCTTAGTTTTAAGGATGTTTTAAAAGTTCAATGCATTTATTTGTCCCTGTCATCATACAGCAAACATTGTCTATATGTCTCCTTTAAACACAAATATTTTAGACTAAATATATACACAGACGTTTTGGAGTTTTTTCACTGTTACAACATCGTTCCCTCATAATAAACAGACCTGGAGTTGCTTTTAGATCCATCCATTCCAGGCAAATATCAGTAACTTCTAGATTTTTTTTTAGCTCCTCCCCTTCTGTCCAAAAGCTCCTTTCTCAGTCCGTTAATAGCATGTTGTAAGTAAGATGTAAGTAAGTATTTGTACCGCTATGACATCACACATCAGATATAGTGCTCAGAAATGTATGAATTATGTGAAATGACGTTCTCTCAAATCACATGGCGGAAAAAACCCTAAAATTTTACTTCTCCCTCCTGTGGTAGCACGGGGAGTTGCAATTTTTTACCCCTCATACTTCACCCTATTTTCTACTTGCATTATTTCACACTCTAAAACCTGAAATGACAAAGTAAAGAGTCACATTATTATTTTTAAATGACTAAATAATGCACAATATTTCTTCTTTAAATCTTTTATAAATCTCTTTGGATAATGCGTCGTATTTGTATATTATAATTTAATTTGACTGCATTTTGTTTTCCTTAATGAGCACTCAGTTATAGTTATTTATGGAGTAGAGAATCCCACAGTGACGTCATGTGAGCTGTTAGTCCTCATTCATCACGGTCCAATTTAATGCTCCAGTCATATTTAACCATCGGGGGCAGTTTAGCTCCGCCCTCTCCCCTCCGTGTTAGCTTCATGGGTAACATTAGCTTGGATCGATGCAGGTCATGGATGTGAAGTGTCCTCAGTGACTGCAGCACTCACTCTTCATTATCTTTCATCTTTACTCGTGTTCCGCCGTGGAGGAGACTCTTCATGACTGTGGCCCGGGCTCGCAGCTCCTCTGGAGGGACAGTTTAAGATCAAACTTGGCACATTGATCGAACGCAGATTGTGTATTGTGTGAGAAGTGACGGTGCCTCTCGAAAGTATTGATACACCTTGGACTTTTGCACATTTTGTCATGTTTACAACCATAAACATAAAGAATTTAGTTTTATGTTTTTACTAAAAGTTCACACAAATTTTACAAATACCTGAAGTGCAAGCAACATTATGAAAAAGAGAAAAGTATTCATACATTTTTCTCAAGTGCATCAAATTGCCTTTAAAATCTTCTAATGGCTGTCTAATGTTCACACTTTGCTCTAACAATTAAATAATAAAAATGATCATGTATTTGGGCGACAGTAGCTCAGTTGGTAGAGCATTGGCCTCTGAGCCTGAAGGTCGTGGGTTCGAGCCCACCGTAAGACCTACTTCACGACTCCCACTGATGTTTGCTGTTGTTGTGTCCTTGGGCAAGACACTTAACCCCACTTTGCCTGAAGCTCCCACTGAAAGATCTCAGCTCCTGTGGACTCAGCACCTGCAGGAGGATCAGTGAGGGGCTGGTGCTGTGTGACTGGGTGCAGCTCTGCCCACCCCCCCGACCCAGACATGGATTAAGGGGAAGAAAATGGATGGATGGATGGATGGATCATGTATTTGTTTATTTATGTATTTCAAATGTGGACATGCCAATACACCACATTTACATTTTAAACAGTTGTAGTGCTGTCACAAACCAGAGCCCAGTGTGTGATCTACTCTCAGAAGAACTCTTCTGTGAGGACCTCAGATTAGCATCATGAATGGAAAGAGTAGGGCTCCACTGCAAATCTACCAACACTCGGCTGTCTGCCCCAATCTCACAGAACACGGACATCTGTGTTTACTGTATATTTGATACAAAATAATATATTGTCTTTGGTTTAATTCTCTTGAGTTTAGCTTGATATCCTCTCATTCCTAGTCACCATGATTAGCCACTTGTTTATAACTTTTTACATTTAGTTTAGCTTGTAATCCATTTAAGCTGATTCTATATTGACCTGTGAGTGTTTTTTCCTCCCAGCCATCTCCGTATTGTGTTAAAATGGTTGTGTTTTTGTGTCATGTCCAGGTTCCTGCTTCATCCGCACTGATCAGCTGGACGGGGAGACTGACTGGAAGCTCAAAGTGGCCGTCGGCTGCACCCAGAGGCTTCCTGCTGTCGGGGTAAGAACACCTCAGGCTGGACCTCCTCACAGGGGGGTCTCTCTCCTTAACACTCACTGTACAGGGGTCTCTCTCTCCTTAACACTCACTGTACAGGGGTCTCTCTCTCCTTAACACTCACTGTACAGGGGGGTCTCTCTCTCCTTAACACTCACTGTACAGGGGGGTTTCTCTCTCCTTAACACTCACTGTACAGGGGGGTTTCTCTCTCCTTCCAGAGGGTTTGAGATTCACAACAAGGTGTAGCATGACTGTGTTGGTGGAGCTGGAGTTGGTTGGATGACACTGTCCAACTGCCTCAATGGCGACTTTGTGTTAGTGTTATTTCATGTGGCCCTCTGCTGCTGTTACAGAAAACACCCGGTGTGTAGACACTAAAGACATTTGTGAACGGGTGATAAGACAAACACATGTATTCAAAGTGTTAAATTGCTCTTTTTACTCCTGTTCAAACGAATGGAAATGTTCTGAAAATGTTTTAAATTCACCAAGTCTGACAGTGTTAGCCAGACACTATTGTATTTCGTATTATTCTGTCCTATGTGTTGGTTTCCTGGTGAAGAGAAATGTCAGTTATCCTTTCCACGCTGCGCTCTAAATCACACACATTTACAGCCCTCGTTCTGTTTCCCAATGATACGTTTTGTCCGATTCCAGTAATTAAACCACATAAATTCCCGCTGGATCCATAAATCTCACGTCTGTCCTGTGCGTTTCTTTTGTTTTAGGACCTTTTCTCCATCAAAGCCTTCGTCTACGCCCAGAAACCCCAGCTGGACATCCACAGTTTCGAGGGAAACTTCACGCGGGTACAGTAGAGCCGCCGCATTAACGACCTCAAACACTAACGCTTTTCTCTTTTACAAACCGCTGCTGTGTATATCACCGCAGTGTGTTGACAACAGACACACAAAAGCGTCTTGTGTGTCTCTCTACAGTTATCTGCAGCCTTACATCACTGCCCCTTCCCCGCTCGGTCCCTTCTCACTTGTTGCCGGGTGATTTTCTCTTCTTTTTTTTCTGGTCTTGGTTTTTTTTATTAATAGCAGATTAGCGCAGCCCCCACAGTGAGTAGAGCCGCGGTACAAAGGCGGCCATTGTGGCGAGCCTCCACGTTTGGCCACACAGCAGGTTTAGTGAACGAGCATTTCCTCTACTCATTCATCCTCCGCGGCCTTGCTTTGCGGGGCTTGTGCTTTTAGGCCGAAGCGCGATGGGAAAAAAATAGGTTCCCACAAAATCCCCGGCAAATGAACTTACCTATTTATGAGGGAGGGTTTTGTTGTTCTGGTTTCTCGGAGCAGATGTAGTGTTGGTGGGGAGGGGGAAACCACAATGTAAAGAAATTAAATTGTGGTTTGACATTTGGATTAATATATTTTGAAGAGATAGTGGCTGAAATCAAGCATTGTTGTCTTAAATATATGCATCATGACTCATTTTGGATACACAACTTTACACTGCTATGTATTTGATTATGCCTGTGTTGCAAATACTGCTCGTGGTCATGTATCTACTGATCTTATTATTGCTATGAACTATAAACTAGAATGTTTAAAGTTAAGCAGGTCCCAAACCATCTACCACCGGAAACGTTTCTCTGTGACTCTTAAAGGCCGCTCTATAAACTTAAACTAAAACTATTCTGTGAATGTGTCCAAATGTTTTCCCAGTTCTTTTACAAATCTACCATATTTTTCTCATATCTTTGTCCGTTCTACTTTGACATCACGCAGCTGCTTTTGAATATTGTCTCTACTTTTTGACCCTTTTATGAATTTGACCATATTTGATTTGTGACAAAGACGATGTGGAACTTTGTCATTCCTGGACCAGTCCTCATGGAACTAACCCAAACTCAAACCCAGACTAGAAGTTACTGGTAACTGTCAAAAGTCAGATTTTTCAGCTGAACACCACAATTTTAAACTATAGACAGATGATGTTATTTGTTATTATTACTGCATTATTACATATCCATCAAAAGTTGATGGGGCAGACATTCGATTGAGACGTTGCAGCCACGAGGGCCAGCGATCGGCTCGAGGTTATCTAGAGTCACCAAAGCGAGGGTTTTGGGTCTGATAATGTATTAGCTCTAGAATTGCCACAGTTATCCAAGTAACGGTAGAGCGATCAAAGGAACCATAACTGATTTAATGAGCCATTCGCACTTTCACTTTGAGACAAGCATATGCTACTGGCAGGACCAACCAGGTAGCCCTCTGGAGGCAAGCGACCCGGGGGGGACCCCACGTGGAAGGCCTGTAACAGTGGCCCTGTTTGGGGTGCGGAGCGTTTTCATTCGGAGCCTCTCCGGGCTCTTCTGAGGTGTTCGAGAAACCGTGTCTTCCTCCTGACCTCCGTGCCTGAGTGGGGGTGTGGGGCCCAGCCCCAGCACCTACTTCACGACTCCCACTGATGTCTGCTGTCGTTGTGTCCTTGGGCAATACACTCAACCCCACTTTGCCTGAAGCCCCCGCTGAAAGATCAAGGCTCCTGTGGACTCAGCAGCTGCAGGAGGATCAGTGAGGGGCTGTTGCTCTGACTGCCACCCCTGACCCAGAAATGGATTAGGGGGAAGAAAATGGATGGATGGAATAGTGTTATTGGGAAAAACTATTATTGAAATGTGATAAATTGACACGTTCAGAAGACACATGGCTGATGGTGGTGGATTTTGGATGAAGTGTCATAAGTGTTCCTTGGGGAAACATTGAGAAAACCATGATTAAAACGCCAAAGTCAGTGCGGTCAAGCCCACTCTGACCTGCCATTTATTTTTCATGCGCCTCTCTGCGTCTGAGTGATACCGGGCGGATGTGGCTCCTGCTTAGGTATCATAATTATCATATCAGTCGAGCAATTTGAGACGACACTGGAGCCGTCCGTCCGAGCGCTCCTGACTCAAGCCGTTTTCACCTTTCGTCTTTATTTAAGGGAGAGAGTAAGGAGCGGGCGAGTGAAACAGGACCCCCCCCAGAGATGTATTTATCTGTGAAATCTCATCTATGCGCTCGCTCCGTACTGTTTTTAAAGGGCCCGTATCGCCCAAATCTACTGCAGCTATTGATAAAGGAGCTTCTGTGTTATTGCCAGAGTCAGCGCGGGTTGAAGCAGGTGCTACGGGAAATTAATGAGACCAGAAGGACTCATGGATCCGGGGTTTAGCAATGAGTAGAAATCTGTTACTGTACTGAATCACAATTTGGTTCTACAACAAAGAATGGACTTTACTTTTACTGTTTCTCTTCCTGCTGCTGCTGCTGCTGCTGACAGTGCTGTGTGTTGGTTCTTACGGTTTTGGATTTTTAATACATTTATAGACATGACATGCTCCGTCGATTCCCTGGAGTCCTATTGTAACGACTTTGACCCTAGCCCACAGAGCATCTTGTGGAAAAGTGTCACCATTAAAGCTAGGGTACCTAACTTTGAAACCACACAAACTTGAGCTAATAGAATCCATCTTTCTAGTCCCACGCTCTCAAAACTGCTAAATAGCGACTCTTTGAGCTGTACTATCCCCGAGTCAAAATGACCTGCCACAGTGGTCTACAAATAGAATAAAAATACCCTAAATTAGAGTCTAAAAGGATTTAAATGACCCGGGGATGGTCAAGTTTGGGAATAGTCATCTAAATTCAGCATATAAAAAAAATATTCATGGTATTATTTAATCTCTGTGCCGGGTCAACTTGTATAGCATAAGGGTTAAATACTTTTGCACGTGTATTCCAATGTGGTTTTACTGCAAATAGTAAATAACCTGATTCTGAATCTGTATGCAAAATATGTTTTCCAATACAGTTAGTTCTCTCAGTTTCAACAGAGCTGTGATTGGCCTGTTCCAGAGTAAACACCTCTGAACCGCTTCTATGATGACCACCTGCATCCCCTTCATACAAAAGTGTTGACCTGCAGGTTGTCTTTGTGGAGATCGTAAACCGTGCTGTACATAAAGTATCAAAAGTGTCAAAAGTGTCAAAAGTGTCAGAAGTGTCAGAAAAGCCTAATGTTTGTGTTGTGTTTGGCAGGAGGACGCTGACCCTCAGGTCCACGAGAGCCTGAGCATCGACAACACTCTGTGGGCCAGCACCGTGGTCGCCTCAGGTCGGTGCCGGACACTTGGAAACCGTAGAATGTTTTGGTGTGAAAGTTGTTATTATTGTAGAGCCACTGCGTTTCTGCAAATGTACACTGCAAAATATGATCAAATATGAGAAAGTGAATCGATTATAAGGCTTATATTTGTATATTTATGTCTGAGCGGTTCGATACGATCCAGTAGAAAATACATGTTTTTGGACCTTCTGCTCGCCCCAATTTCAACAAAAGTAAACGCATTAGAAGAGGAACGCTGGCTTGGTGTCACCTGCAGGAGTGTGCTTTTGGATAATTTGATAAAAATACTACAATATTGGTGCATCTTTCTTCCATTTTTGTATTTTAGGACAATCAAAATACAGACAAACAATAGAGGGAATAACAAAAAAACACAATAAACATATAAAAAACTAATATTTATGTCACATTCACACAGAAACTAAAAATGTCTAAAAATCTGAATTTCTTTCCAACAAGACAGACTTTTATTCCACCTTTTTTAGTGCTTTCTTTTTGTTTAAACTGAACATTCTTCTGAACCGACGGTGCTCAACATCATTAATAAAGCTGGGAGTATTTAAAGATCATTGGTTATTAGAAAAAATATATATATTTAAAATCTCTTACAATGCTATCTTCCATTTATTGTAGATTTTGGACACATTTTCAGCCTTGTGCCGCTGACCGTGGAGCAAAGACGTCAAAGTACTGCTCTTACAAATATGTTTAAAATCTGAATCTGTAAAAATATACTATAGCACTTTATAACAATACTTCAGCTCCTTATTTTAGGTAAAGTGCCTAATTCATGTATTTTGTAAATGATGGGATCCAAAACGAGTCCCTCTCAAACCACCGCCTGATCCTTGAATTCCTGCACAGTCCTGACGTAATGCTCGGTGCTGTTTTGGGACGCGACCACAGATCGACTCGCGGTCTGAACCTCTGACCTTCAACACAAGAACCAGTGACATCACCGCTCAGCAGCAGGAGGAGCCCAGGACCCGGGACGTGTAGAGACCTGCACGAGCTGGACCCAGTTGGATCAGAACCAGTTTTTATCACATTATAAGGCACATTATCAAATGATTCCTTTATTTTCTTATATAAGGTGCACCGGAGTATATTATTACTTGGGCCGGGACTTTAACGTGTTAATTAAGATTAATTAAGTCCACAAAAATTAGTGAGTTAAAAAAAATTGACTCATTTTAATCGTATGTGTTTTTGCACCGCGGAACAATTGTACTGGAACACCAACTCGAGCTCCGTGACTTTTCTTGAGGAGGAGGAGGAGGAGGGGGAGGGGGAGGGGGAAGGGGAAGGGGAGGAGGGGGAGGGGAGGGGGAAGGGGAAGGGGAGGGGGAGGATGGGAGGGGAGTCAGTCTGATCCCCTTATCATCCACAATGAACATATGTTGCTTATGTATTGAGTCATTATTCAATGGTAAACTAAAAATCCATGTGAAAAAAATAACTTCTTTTTATCGAGTCCCAGCCCTAATGATTACTTATTATTACATTAGTAAAAGATATGTGCGCCGAATAGTGCGATTAAAATACAGTACAGTCTTCCCCAATTACAGCCATTTGCTTCTCAGTGATGACCAGTGTAACGTTAAAATATAAAATAATAATCATTTCAAACAGATGTTCATGAAAACAGCGAGAACAGGAGAGGGCCACAGATCGCAGTCTTGTGTCAATAACCGGACCTCTCTTCACAAGGTTCTTGCAGAAAATGACAAAGTCTGGGGTCGTGTCTCAGAGAAGACGTGTTTTTTGGGCAGCACGGTGGCTGAGTGGTTAGCAGTCTCGCTTCTCAGCAAGAAGGTCCTGGGTTCGAATCCCAGTGGAAATAGGGCCTTTCTGTGTGGAGTTTGCATGTTCTCCCCTACTACTAAATACATGCCCACAGGAGGCACATGCCAGACCGGCTTTAAGATATGTTTTTAAAATTATATATTTTAAAGCAGGGATGGCTTATTATTTCATTAATTGAATCACTCTTTTAGATTCTTAGATGAATAGTTAGATGCTTATTGATCCCTGTAGGAGAAATCCAGGTGTCCAGCAGCAGAAACACATTCATATAAACCCAGAAGTGCATACATTATAAACATTTCTAACCGAACAATAGTTATATGAAGTCATTGGTCTCATTATTAAAGCAAAGAGACTCACTCTTCATGGAAATCATTCTAACTGGATGGTTGAGAGGAAACGATAGATACTTCAGTTATTGTGGGTCTGTGTTTGCTTCCTGCTCCAGCTGTGACCAGAAAATTAGTCCACGCCATATTCAAATTGAAACCTTTTGAACACGCTGAGACCGCGGCCATTTGTCACAGACCTGTTCAGTTCTTACATTCATCTCCTGCTTTAGTCTCGTCAGGGGTCTCCAGGGCTCAGGAGGATAAACTGTGTAAAGCAGACAAAAACACAGACATATGTGTGTCCAAAATCATTTTAATTATGTGGAATTTGACCCAAAGTGATTAAGTGACACTCAGTCATTTAGAACTTTCTCATAGGGTCCCAGTCCCTGATGTAGCAAAAGAGTGGGAGGTTATTTTGTCGGGCCAAAGTAGTTCTCCAGAGACTATTCTAAATTCATGGGTAAAGGACAATTGTTTTAAGCCACCATATTTATACGGCTATTCTTTCTGCTTTCCTTTGCTCCTCTAGTTTAAGTTTATTAGCTCCTTTTCCCCCCATTAGGTTCATTTAATATTAATGCTCTGTTAATCCTTTGTAATTGGACAAAGTAATGAATTGGCGAATTAAGATGGCGGCGTATTGATCAGGCGTGTAAGCCCCCAGTGCTTCATTGAGAGTCTGAACGTATTAAAACGCTCTATCTCGGGCGCTTGTCGTGGTCCTTTGGTGCAGTTCATCTTACTTGACCAAGATTAGTGTGCGTTTGTTTACGTGGGGGAGGGAGCGGGCCACTTAATGAGCTACATTACTTTTCTTGTCCTGTGGTTGGCAGGCACCGTCATCGGGGTCGTGATCTACACCGGCAAAGAGACCAGGAGCGTTCTCAACACGTCCTACGCCAAGAACAAGGTGAGTGCGTGTCGAGGGCCGGGGGTTTGGCAACAAAAACATTCACTGCACATGGTCTGTGAGAGGAACCGGCCTAAAAGACTAAACTCACTGACGAGCCTGAGTCTGTGGTTCTTCTCACTTTCTCACACACTCAGAGCGTCCTCATCATCCACAATAAGTGCCAGACACGATGTAGACAGAGTTAGAATTCAATTACATGTATTTTTGTATAGCCCTAAATCACTACAGAGGTCATCTCGGAGAACGTTGTCGAATCACCGGCAACAGAATTGAGAATCAAACCGTTCTAACGCAGACAATGCAATAATAACAAACACGTAAGAGCCAAATGTCCGAGATCGTCACTGTCCTTAGGCCCTCCTGCATCGGTGAGGAACAACGGAAAACATTGAGAGGGATCCGATCCCATGGACAGATTTTAGATCCAGGGCTTGGGCCGTAGAACGAGGATGGAGGAAGGTCCCGGGCGGGGAGGGGGTTGCGCAGTCCTCGAGTCCAGGCCCAGGGGAGACCAGTCCACAGATGCAGAAGAAAGAGGCCAGATCCAGGGGTTCCATCATCACATCATGAAACAGAGGGACAGTAGGTGGAAAGCAATGAACAGACTACAGCTGAAGTCATGACGATGAACGATCAAGTAGAAGTAGCACTTTGTCAGCACATTTCCTGCTTATTTGAATAACTACGGCAAATATTGTTTTATTTTGTGTACTTTAAACACGGGGTCGACCGATTATCACCGTATATAAACGTAGGCACCATGAGCACCTCCATATTCTGCAAACTTCTCCATGGACCCAATTTAAGTCTACACACACGACTTAGTTTAATGTTCTTCACCATTTTACGTATAAAACTCAAAACAAACCCCATCAGAGCTGCTTTATTCCATATGGCACAGTGGGTATGAGTTAAAGCATTGATTCAGATTCAGTTTATTTGCCATTTGCAGTAAAAAAACCCACATTGGAATACATTATCAAAAGTCTCCAGTGTGCACAGACAAATACAGACAATAAAAGACAGAAATAAAACAAATAAAACAGTAAACAAATGTCACTGTGAAATGGATCGACTAAAACAGTTTCAAAACAAGTGCAAATCATTAAAGTGCTCTGTTCACACTGATAACAGCCTGTGGATAAAAACTGTTAGCGTAACGAGATGTCCTGCATCTCAGAGCGATATCTTCTGCCAGAGGGAAGAAGCTGGAACATGGCTTTCCCAGGGTGGCCAGAAGAGTCATTAACAATCCTAAGAGCTTTGTTTAAAAGTGTGGATTTATAAAGAACCTCCAGAACAGGAAGCTCACAGCCCACGGTCCTCTTTGCAGAGCGGAGCACCTTGTTTAAAGCTCTCTTTTCTTTATCTGTGATGTTTCCAAACCACACAGACACAGAACCAACAAGTAAACTCTCAATGGTGCAGCCATAAAAGTTAAGCACAATCTTAGAGTTAGTGGTAAATTCTCTAAGTTTACGCAGAAAGTAGAGACGCTGACGAGCTTTCTTAACGACTCGGTCAGTGTTTTTAACCCATTTCAGGTTAGACAGAGTTAGACCCAGAAACTTGCTCCTCTACGATCTGCACCTGGGAGTTGTCGATTACGACAGACAAATGAGAACTATTGTGACTGAAGTCGTGACCAGTTCACATGTTTTGGATGCGTTCAACTGGAGGTTGTTAGTTTGACTCCACTGAACCACATTTTGTATCTCTGCTCTATATGAGGATTCATCAGTGTCACTGATGAGACCGATGATGGTGGTGTGATCAGCATATTTGATGATCAAGTTTGAGTCAGAGAAGGACACACAATCGTGAGTGTACAAAGTAAAAAGCAAAGGACTCAAAATACATGTTCAGGGGCCACACAACCACAACCTGCTCTGAGGTAGCAGCTGGTCCTGTTCCCTGTTGTCGTCCGGAGTCCCCCGCCTCCTTTCACGAATCAATCACTTCCACAAGGTGTTTTTTTCTAACCTTGACTTTCCAGATAGAGTTGGTTCTGTCAATGCAAAAGGTCAGCGCCCGTGGCTAATTAACCAAACGGGAAATTAACTAACCAAGGATTTAAATGACATTTTCAGCCAAAAGTTAATCCCTCTGAATCCCCATTGAGTTTTTGTCCCTAGATCTCTGAGATTAATGTTCGTTTGTAAGATCGAGTCTGAGAGATTCTGACGGATAACCCAGGTCGGCCGATAAAGCAAACTTGTGCTGATATGAATTTGAGTGGTTTCAGGCGAATCGCAAGCTCCTAAAAGCAGTCTAGAAGATTCTATGGGTGTTTTATATAGTTTTTGTGTGTTTGCCAGTCTGGTCTTTTCTCAAATGTGTTATACTCATCAAACAAGATTACTCTAATTCTCTCACATTGACTGTTTGAAGAAAGGCACTTTTTTTATTCTGCGATACATGCCCCTACTACTACAAAGTCCGATAAACGCAAGCAATTATTGTTATTGTATAATGAACATAAAGTACAGCTAGGTAAGGTGTGGTGTGTCCCTATATGGATATTTGTCCTGTGTTTGACCCATCCAAAGACACTCAAGTGAACAACCTGTCAGGAGCACTGGTTTCCACAGCGCAGAACCCAGGGCAGAACCCAGGGCAGAACCCAGGGCAGAACCATCCAAAAAAAAACAAACCACACAGAAAAGCTTACTGTGAAGCATGAGCGCTACCCACTCATTCTTTGAGCTGGTCTGAAAAGCCTGTAAAGATGGAGGGGAGGTGATGTGGGGGACAAGGACACACTGGTCTCTGGACAGGGATGATCCGGGATGTTTTAAGGACAACTCACCCTCAAATCCACTTTCTTTAGCTGATAAACGGTATAAATGAGGTTCCAATAGCGTTGTGTACATATCCAGGTCATCATTGAAAGATCAACTTTCTGCCTGAAACCGTCAGTGAGGCGCCATCTGCAGGCGACCTGTATTTACTACATTTAAATCTGGCGCCACCGTTGGTGGAGACGTGATGGCTGACGTCAGTTGCACAGAAGCTATGACGTCTGTGATCACTCTCCATCTTTGACACGGCCAATGCTGATGTCAAGTGTCAATCACAGCTTAGACCCGCCCAACATTCACCCCCCGTCTGTCCCCTTTAGTTCTCCAGATTTGAAAAGAAAATGAGTGACGTAAGCCTCCAGTGTGTGTGTGTGTGTGTGTGTCTGTTTGTGTGTGTGTGTGTGTTTCTGTCTGAATGTGTGTTTGTCATTCTGAATGTGTGTATGTGTGTGTCTGTCTGAATGTGTGTGTGTGTCTATCTGAATGTGTGTGTGTGTTTGTCAGTCTGAATGTGTGTGTGTGTTTGTCAGTCTGAATGTGTGTGTGTGTGTGTGTGTCTGAATGTGTATGTGTGTGTGTGTCTGAATGTGTGTGTGTGTTTGTCAGTCTGAATGTGTGTATGTGTGTTTGTCAGTCTGAATGTGTGTATGTGTGTGTCTGTCTGAATGTATGTGTGTGTCTGTCTGAATGTATGTGTGTGTGCTGAATTGTGAAGTTTAAGAAAAGCGCTACATAAAACCAATGTATTATTATTTATTATTATTATTATTACAACGACCTGACATTTTAAATCTAATCTTTTTGCCAACGTCCTCCAGCCTGATCATAATTTATGCAAAAGAGTAGCTTCGTTGGAATTGTGCATGTGTCTCTAACTTACTCCAATAAAAGCATATTTAGTGTGACGTCTTGCAGCCCTAGTCCATGATCGAGGATCTTGAGTTTCCCCGAGGCCTCCTGAGCTCAGCACATCTGCTCATATTAGGTTTTCTACTTTTTGACACTTTGGACTTTTATTAAAGAGCTGATGCGGTTTGCGGGTGTTTTGTGTAAGCGCGGCAGCTGAGAGGAATTCAATATTTCAAGGAGATGATGTCAGAAGTGTCAATAAGGAGACGAGGGGAAAGTCGATACAGCGAGGTCTACTGCAACTCCCACGTTTTGGCTTTTTATAAACGTGTTGTGACACTGTCCTGGACAAAGGCGGGCTGTGATCAATGCCCCGGGACGGACTCCGCACTCGCTTTGTCTGAGAGCAGGAGACGGACCGCCATCACGCAGACCAGACAATGTAATCTGACAAAAGGCTAACCCTGAAAAGAGACTGGTTAATTTGAACACGGCGACAGTTCAATATTCTCCGATCGAGCCTTAAGTTGGATGAGAAGTAGTTTACTGGGGCCTCAAATCAATCGGAAAAGTCGATACGAATTTACAGCGCCACCTAAATGTCGGAGATGGTGTTTACAGCCACACATGCCACTTATTGTTTAGAAATGCATACATTTTCTTTTCAGTAATCCTCAACTTTACCACACATTATTATTTTACTGCCACATTATTATCTTTTGTCCATCTACGTGATTCAATACGGCTTCATTATAACAACAATAGACTAGAATGAGTTTTAATATGTATAAACGTAAAGTTATATTGGAGGATTTTAGGAAAGAACCGCCCTCTGCACTTGTTGAACCAAACTCTCTGCTCTGATTGGGCGAGCGTGTATCAGCAGAATGATTGACAGTTGGGCGGCACGGTGGCTGAGTGGATAGCACTCACGCCTCTCAGCAAGAAGGTCCTGGGTTCGAATCTCGGCCGGACCAGGGCCTTTCTGAGTGGAGTTTGCATGTTCTCCCCGTGTCTGCGTAGGTTTCCTCCGGGTACTCCGGTTTCCCCTACCACTAAAAATATGTATAATAGGATTGGCATGCGCCTCCTGTTCGGCGACCCCGCTCCCATCTCTGTGTGGAGTGAGAGACAAATGCCCAAATAATAACAATTGTAAACCGCTTTGTGACTCTGGTCTGTGAAAGGCGGTATATAAATAAAGATTACTTACTTACTTACTTACTTGGGCGGACCAATAGTCTTGATCCACTTGGAAGTAGAAAATCCTTCTCAATACCTTTTTTAAATTAGATTTTTCTTTTTTGAGATACAGGTTTGTTCACATTAAAGGGCACAAAAGTCTGA